TTAACACTGGAATATTTGCTGGCAACACCAAAGAATGAGTAAATGATGCCTAGAAATTGTCATTCAGTGATTTACAAATAACACCATAAAAATCAATGGTCAAGTTTTTACTCTTTTCCTTATTTATTTTGTATATCCTAGTGATTTAAAAAACCGATTTTTTTAGGAATACGAGTGTTTGTCCAAAAATGACTAAATGATGCCTAGAATTTGTCATCCGATGATCCACAAGCTTAAAGGAACAGTTTTGATAATTTAAAAATGGAGAAATTAATGGCCTTTATGTAAGCTTTTAAAAAGGCTATTTGAGGCCAATTTAGGGAAACGGGAATTACAAGTGCATGGAAGTGAGCGAACATTTTCCAGAACTCGATAAAATAAAGACAATATAATTGGTGAAAATAACTAAGCTGGATTAAAGGTTGCGCAGTTTTACCTAAAGGCTTGGCCACTCTGAAGTGTTGCGCTGAGATTAAAGGTATCAGGAGAGATCTTGGTCGATATCCATTCTAAAAGGCAGGCAAGGTTGTGATATTTCATAAAGACGGCACATACAAACACTTAATGGAGCCATCGCGTGAGATACAAAACTATAGTAATTACGGAAATATCTAAGTATGCAGGGTAAAGTGATATCCAATTTTCTAGAAGTTAAGGATGATTACAAATACTCGATAACATAAATATATTTAGTAAATTCTAAGCACAAAAAGAAATTAATCATTATGAAAAGACCCTTCGACACTTATGTCTGTGGATTTCTATATATTAAAAAACTGTTTTGGTAAATCGACTGATTAATAATTCACCACTTTATATGTATTTATAAGGCTTCTTCTTAGCCGAAATTTAATATGCAAAAAATGGACAAACATAAATAAATTGCACATCACACGAATATAGTTTGGCTAAACATGCATGACTTCAAAAGCTGAAAATCCAAAAATGTTTGGGATATCAAGTTAATTAATATTCAATCACCTAAAACGTGCAAAATACATATTCCTTGGTGAATAATAGTTATAAACTTAAAATAACATATCAAGCATACAAAATTCGACTAGGAAAAGACATGACGGACATTAACCACCTCCCCCTTATCTCAAAATAAAATATACCAGATTTTCGCAAGCCCGTACACATTCCAAGCGAAGCGCTCAACACTTGAACATTCACCTTGGTCATTTAAATCATTTGGCAAAACAAAACAGCCAAAATAACACAACAATTTAATGTTACCATTCTTTTACTGTAGTAGATTGTTTGCAATTTACTTTTGATTACAGATATATGATCCATTGTAAATAATACAAAAAATATGAGGAAAAAACCGTTAAAAATAAGCACCAAGCAAATTAGGGTTTGCATTAAGTGTAAAAATCAAAATAAAAATCATTGCGACTTGTCGTTGTCTTCCCATGCCTTATTCTCAAAATTGATCATCAGAGTTTTGATTAGAATTTCGAAGGTTGACATAAAATACTTGGGTACTGCTTTTAAATTTGTTCTATTCAATTAATAGATAAAACAGAAAGGACTGTTAAGGGGTTATATCTCAAGTAATACTGTAACCATCCGAGTCCAAAAGTAAGGATCAAGTCGTGCTTCCTCTGTAGACTCGTCTCAGGTTTAATTTCCCATTATTCTAGCTCATGCAATTAAGGGCATTATCTATTTCCTTCAAAAAGCAAACACTTTTTTTGGCAGTCCGAGTGGACTTAATGAATTAATTTAATGCAATTCGCATTTTCTTTGCAGACATACTTACTCATCATTAAATCACTATTAATAAATTTGTGATTTGATTATTAATGCAGGCCAATTAAATGTTTCTTGATATCAGCTACCTTCGAAAGCGTGAATTAAGCACTTAACTGGCACGCAATTTCTTATTTCTTCCAATGCTTTCTATGTCTTAATTTACATCCTTGAACCTTTGGCTAACCAGTACCGATTTGTTTTGCACCGGTTTCATTTTACTTTATTTCCTTGTTATTATTAGTATCACGCCATGCTCACTTTTGCATATTACTTATGCACTGCTCCGTTTTTCCCTTCCATTATCTTTAGCCTGTTCACACGCTTCCTTGCACAATCTACGAATGTTGTTCCCGCTTTTCAAATAAACGAAAGCGATGCTTGGTTACAGTAGAAGAATAGATTTGTTTGTGACGCTCTAAATGCTGCCTTAATGCATCACCTTTCGAATCTTGATCTTTAATATACCTAATTGCGTAACTTTTTGTTAAAGGATTTAAATCTAATTAGTTTGCCATTGATCAAGTTTTGATTGACAAGCAACCTTAAACAAAAAAAATAAAATTGCATCCAAAAAAATCTAAAAAGCATATATTTGCCCATTATCGTAAATACTCCTGTGCACATTTTTAATTGGTTTGTCATAATCGAGTGCGCCTATCAATGCCGATTCTATCAGTGGTTACTTAGACTATAATGTGATTCGCTGAGTATCTGTAGAGTCCGCGCGCCCACTTGCTTTATCCGCCTGCGTATTGCTCAGTTTGTCCGACATCAACTTAGCGACTAAAGCACCAAAGGTGATCATGTTGCAGCCCATTAAATTAGTTTTCTAGTTTGTAAATTAACATGTGGATTTTTTTTGGTCACCTTTATTTGTTTATGTCTGGGACAACACTAACATTAATGTCTCGACTGATTTTTTGTTGGGTTTTCGAAGAAACGGTCCTCTGATGCTTTTTTTAACACAGTATATATGATCAGTAAACTGTAAAATAACCCCTGCCACACGTTTTAGTAATTATAGCAGTCGGTATTAGCAACTACCGTGGTATTAAATTGATTAAACGAACTTGATTGGTATTCTAAAGAAGTGTCATAACGTGATCTTCTGTCAAGGGTAGTATAACACCTGGAAACTCGATGTAATTGAAAATATTTTGGAGTTACTGATATTGAGTTCTACTTGAATCACGCTTATGGGCGTTATTTCGTCAAGTCTGCACTTCACTCTTGAGTCTATACCTCATTGTGCTTTCATAGGTGTTTGTTGAGAAGGAAATAATTGCATTACTTTATTGGGGCCTGTACCATTTCTTAGTTTAGAACTTATCCTCTGGGCTCCTAACTCAGCTGCTCAAATAGTTCTGAGGTCAAATTATCTCTTTTTTCGGTACCTTTTGACTCTAATCCATGCTGTCGCTAAAGTTAAATGTGTGACCTTGCGTAATTCCTGCAATTCAGTAAACTCAGCTTCTTGTTAGGGAAAACGTGTCAATTTTTTTATCGAAGTACTAATAATAATAAGCAACTTGCATTTCTTCGTACATACCAATGACAAGCGACTTTGATTCGTTTTGATTGTCCTCGTTCACGGCCTTACGTAGGAGAGATGTAGGAGAGGTAATACCTCGTTGATAGCAGGGACCTTTCTTGTACCCAAACTGCGTTGTTTTGCTTATGATACTTGTATGCAAATCGATCTTGTGGATAACCTCTGAGACTACCAAGCGGTGCTATAGGGAACCCATTCGTTGTTATTCCTGTGACAGATGTGGCTGTTCTCTTATTTGTTGGCTACCTTTTTCGGAATAATTTGTGCTAATAGCGTTTATTCTGTCGTGTTTTAGTACACTCCAAGTGGCAATCAATAAATTCATTATAAAAGGAGTCGCATTATGCATGCACATTTTATTCTTTTTTTCAAGTCTGAAACAACGTGTTTGCTATTCTGCAGTTTGCAATCTATTTCAAGGATTTACCAGTAATAGAGATGGTTCGACCTTGAGAGAATGCAATTTCTTTTAATTCAAGTGTATTTGTAAATGGGTGGTGGAATGTAGCTCTGAAATTCCCTTATTAATTTAGTACAGAGAGAAAAAGTTTTGATTGATCATTAAAGTGGAAGTAGGTCCTCTCCCCACATTACCTGTAGTCATCCACTTTTTTTCGTTTATGCCTATGTGTCTGCGTCTCCTGGTGAATTAAGCTGACATCGTTGTAAATTGACTATGTCTGGCACTTTCATTGCTTACTAATTGGCTGAAATGGTTATTGTAAGGTGGTTTTCAAAAAAACAGGCAACTGGAATCACTACTACAATATTATTTATTTTCGAGGATCTCTTTCAATTTCTTGACGTCTCATATGCCCGGTGTTGCATCCCGCTCTCATTATACTATCGCATTTTGGCCTCAACGTCTATCTTTTTGTTGACCCATCGGGTCTTCCCACATTAACAACAGTTCGTCGTAGACTTAAATTTTGGAAGGAAAGCCCCTGTTTTCACTTACGGTTTATTACACTGAAAATGTCAGAGTGTACCGTACCTGGTCGCGAAGTTGGCATATTCGTGAAATCGAGATCGGTAACTGTTCTGCTTACACCCTTTTTCGCCACACACGATTGTCTTAGCGGTAGCACTTTAATAGCCACGCCATTTGTAGTTACACATTCTGCTTCATTTTACCATCTCCTCTATGGGTTTATTTCTCTTAATCACGAGACCTTGCACGTGTTATACTGTAACTACATTGAAGTATATAAATCGTATTTATATATCGCATTACCCATTGCCGTCCAGTCTTGGTTCGTCGCAGTCTTCAAAAGGGTGAATTTCCCGAAGTGGATGTTGTTGCCATATTTTCCAGCAGCTAGCGCTCTTTGGTGTTAAACGAGCCCTGTCAGTCCAGACATTCCTAAAAGGTTTAGCGGTAATCTAGCGCGCACTGACTTAATCCAAATCTTCCCTGATTTGTTCATTTGGATATGATGAAATTCGGTGGCAAGGCATAGGCAAGTCCGTGAAAATGGGTCGTGGGTACAACTAGAGTGTGTTGGCCCGGCCTTTCTGCCTGATTATTAAAAGGGTAGTTATCACTGGAAAGGTGGATTGTTGCTTTTTTTAGAAAGTAGATCATCTAAATAGACGAGAACAGCTTTCTGAAAGAACTGTTTTATTATCATCAATTCTATGGTTTTAGGTGCTTGATCTGTCTTCCAAAATATAAGATTCTTTGAAAATGCGCACAAAGACTATCACTAAGACTACATCTCTCCAGCCTTCTCTGAGTGAAGATGAAGATGGGGAGTGGAATTGCGCCCTATCAAAAGTGAGTTTGCTTAAGTTCACACAAATCGAGCAGTTGTTGTGAGGCTGTGTTCTTTTATACAAATTGGTGATTTCATCTTGTCTTCTGTCATTTTGGCTGGAACAGACGCTGTAGTATTTGCCTTCCCATTATGGGTTTTGTCGCACGCCTATTTACTGCACAATCTTGATTATCAACTGTGACCTCTAGCTTTTCTGACATCCACGTCACGATGTTGAACTCGTGACGTCCAGTGTTAAAGCCCGTTTGTAGTTAAACGAACTAGTATCTCCACAAAGTGCACAGCTTGCGATTTTTAATTCACGTTCTGTTTAAACCTGCGAAAATATGGAGCTGGTCTTAAAGGTTCTTAAACTGGACTAGATACCAATGAATTTTAATTAATGTGTTGTATTCTGGTTCGCTGGTAGAAGCTGTAAGCACCAAACATCCACTTGGAATTGCAGCCTCAAGTGAAGCTCATTTAAGGCGACTTTTCACCATTCACGGATGAAATTGAAAACCTGGCTTCTTCACCATCTATGCGTCTTAACCGCAAAATTCCAACTGTTGTAGGACAATATTTTATTTGTTTGTTCAAGGAAGAGATGAATCAGATGAAATTGCCCTGTCGAGACGCTTAGGCTTTCATGCTCCTTTAGTTCTATCTTGTTTGTTGAATTATTTCCTAGTAAAATTGACTTAATTTAAGAAGATGCAAAATCTGAATGATTGTGCTTATTCCCTACTGCAGTTTCCCATTAACTGATGGTGAGGTTGATCAAAGGGATGGGACTTGTGGAGGTTAGCTATGAACGTCAACCCCAATATTCTGAAAGTTCACTAGATCTATAGGTACATATTTCTCCTCTGCACTTTTGTACTCTCCCAGGGTATGCGCCGACGTCTCAAGGCAACTGGGCGCACTTCACCATTGTCGGTCCGGTTACCAGTTCCCAAGAATTCGGAGAAAAAACCCCGCACTCTTTTGTATCTCCCTGACGACAGTCCCTCCGCACTGAAGGCGAAATTCGGTGCAGCATTGGCCCAATTCCTACCGTCCGAAGGCAGTGCCTCGTTTGTCGCCCGTGTACTCTCCGAATTACGTGCAAGAATCCGACCGTCCGCTAAGATTCTCTGCCTGGGTTTGGGTAACCCGGCTGTCGACTCATCAAGTCTTCGTCAGCTGGCCTTTCTCACCGCTCTAGTGGAGGCCTCCGATGGCATTTTTGCACCCGCTAGGACTTTCATCTATGATCCCGTCTTGAAAATCACATCTAGGGATTTTATTCGACGTCAGGGCTTTCGTGTGAGTTAATGTCGCTGCGGCGTTCGAGGTAACGTCGAAGGTGTGCACGTCATTTTCGCATGCTTCATTCTAGATCTTAAGCAACTCTGTGTGTGTGTACTCTTGGGTGGGTTGTGGCTTCGACCGATTGACTTCATTTATTATCCGATGGATACTAAAGGCGAAAAGTTAAAGTGGATAGCATCTTAAATGTTTATTAATTTATCGGCATTTAACGTTTTATGCTTATCAATATTTACAGTCTAATTTATATCCTTTGACTTGTCATGAATCTCTCTTCTGGTAGCCGTTATAGGCTCGGCGTGCTCACTACCCATAAACTGAGCATTGCGCTAAACACTTTCACCTTGCAAGTGGATAAGTAAACATTAGCACATGACCTCGATGCCTTTTATTGTTTTGTTTTTCTCCGCATGCACAGGCCTTCATGTAGTTTTTTGCATGCTATTAATTGCACTTTTATTAACACAGGTACTTAGAAAGATTGTGCTTCTTTTCATGTCAAATTAACTGTAACCTAATCCAACCGTCCAAGAAAGTTTGCCATGGATTACCCTCTCGGATCAATGTTGAATCGATTTTTTTCGCGTCTGAACGATCCACTAATTGGTATATTGGTATCTTGAACCTGCCGTTTGTCTCACGGAGTTGCGCCTGTCGAACTTTTGATTATCCAGTGTTTAGGTTTCCGAACGTTTAACGGCCATTTTATAGTTAGGCTGGCTGAATCCCAAGTTCACTAACGCATAATGCAGTAAATCGGAAGCATTTAACCCTGAAAACCCCATAATCTAGTCTTCTTATTGGTCACGTGGTGACTCGTCGCAGTTGAATAGCTGCTGACGTGTGAATTGGACCCAGGGTACCTTCTCCTCTTTTCAGGTCTTGTCCTCAAACTTAGAGGGTCACTATCATCTTCCCAGGGATCAATCTACGTTTGTCTTTCTTCCACATTGCCCTCTCGCCTTGGCCGAGGGCCTAGTGTCCTGCAACTGGCACCGCGAAGTTCTCAATCAGCTCACATTTCTTTCCTGTCCTCTGAAACCGCGCAACGCCGACAACGAGGTCCCCCACCTTGCATTTCTTCAGCCATTCCGAAATCGCGCCTCCCTGAAAACAGAACGCGACTTTGAAGGGCTTCGCCTAGAGTGGTTTTACCTTCCGCCTGAGGTGAATCTCGTGCCTGCTAGCGCTTCTTCCCAGTCAACTATTCCTTCAGGCGACCTCCTCACTTTTGACAACGTATCGTCCTTCATCGACGGTTGTGATGCTCAAACAATTGATGGACTTGTTTAAATGAAGAGCTCGTGTACAAAAAGACTAAAAAATGTCCGTTAAACTCTCTGGTCTTCTTTTTTGCATGGTTTAACGCTATTAATCATAATAACCGTATTTCCGAACAAGCTCCTCCCCTACCTGTTTTCATCTTTCTCACTTGGTACTTATTTGGCACATCTGTTCCCCCCCCCCATTTCCCAAAATTGCCTTTTTTAGTTTTATTCGCGACAGCAGTTTAAATCTGCAAACAGTATGGATCTAGCCCTTGGTCCTAATGTGGTTTTCAACGTGGCATCATTGCAAGCAATGACTTATTTCTTCCACTTTATTGCAGTGCTAATTCACATCTTCAGGCGCTCACCCCGTAATTACTCATGAAACGCTTCTGTTTGCTGTATTGACACTGAAATCTGGGTTTTGTTATGCTTATGTCCCGTTGCGGATTTGGCTGCATCCCGAATTCATGTTATACACGGTACGTGAATTTGTGACCTCACTTGGACTTTAGGCAGTGTTTCCCTGTGAATGATGGGTTAATTAGTGGTTTATGGCGCCTGTGTAGGATCTAAAGTCGTAAAGATGGGTAGACACTTGCCCGACTGACCATGTATGGCAGAAGACGTAAAAAATGTGCGTTAAATCTAGGCTGTGGATGTAAACCTTACTTAGACCTTTCACTTGCCTCGCGTACCTTGGCCTACTGTAATGCTGCACTGCATGTACCAAAACTTGCCACCAGTTTGACCCTTTTCTTGATCACCTTCCTCAGGCGCATAACGGCCTCCACTATGTCCACATGAAGGATGAACGAGCGTCGCCAAGATGTTCGTCAACCCTCCTACTCAAATAGTAATCTATCTGCATCTAGCAGTCTCACTTCCGTAGATACTGTGGTATTTGCTGCTGCTGCTGCCGCCGTTCCTTCTGCTTCTCGCAGAGATCAAAGAGCTCGTAGCCTCCCTTCATCCACTTCCACCACCGCCTCTTCTTCCACCTATACCACAAGTTCCTCATCCTCCTCCTTGAATGGCTACTCCACTTCCTCCTCTTCCTCTTGCTCTTCAACGTATTCATCAACACAAGGCACTTCCACCTCTTCTTACACCACTTATTCCTCTTCCCCATCTGGAATTGTTTCTACAAACCATTCAGCGGGAATGCTCGAGCGGGAAGCTGGTCGAGGAAAGCGTACGAGGGATCCAGAGCCCGCTGAAGGGGCGCCTTCTAGCATACCCTGTGAGGCGATCCTGTCACCGCCCAAAATAGAACGAGGAGAGGAAAATGAAAAGGCAACACAAGTGACGGATCTGTGCGATTGTTGTTGTTGGCAGTCGGCGGTACCTGAGCCCGTGGTTTTGGTGGCCTGTGGGTCCTTTAATCCAATCACCACAATGCATCTGCGTATGATGGGTGAGTACCTTTGATAGGTCTTTTAAATTACTTGCCGACATCTCGGCCAACCACTTTTAGTTTGCAGAATACTCGAATCGCGCTAGTGGGGAAAATGATTTCCACCTCGATGAGACTGTGATTTGTCAATCACAAATTCCTTCTGTTATTTGCACTCAGTTGCTGGCTAGGTACATTCACTCACGAAAACTCTGTCTTGTGGTGGTAAAAATGCTTCTAGTCGACAGGTTAACGTTCCCATAATAGGTTCTGCTATCCGCAAATTTACAGTCCGGTTTTGGAACCAGTCATTCATTCGAACCAATCGAAGTTCCTGAATTTGCAACATGCCTTGTTTTTCGGCGTTGTACTTGGTTGACCTCTTGTAGCGTGTGTAGGTTTACATCGTTAAGTCTTTTCTCCATAGGTAGATATATATAACGTTGATTCCACATTTTCTGCTGATTGCATTAGGTCGTTCTGTTTGTTTCATTAATGTCCCTGCAACCAATTCATCTCTCAATCTTTAGTTGTTCACGTATGTTATATTTTTGACTTAAGGTAAATTAGATCAATTCAAAAAAACAAAATTTCTGAACTCTTGGAATGGATTAAACTGTAACCCTCGCTACGCAATGATTGCGTAAAACGGGTTCGCAGGTCTATGCCTCCTCCCATGCTCGCCACTTTCGCAATGCTTTGAGGTGGGGTAATAAAATTTTTTTGCAAATTTTGGTAGACACGAGTGGCTTCACTTGTACATGCACCATTTGTTTGCGTCTTGCTAGGTTAAGTATGTAATTTCGGCTCTGGAAAAATTACTTTTATTCCTGTCCGACTTGTTTTCATCTAATCAACTTGATTCAGGCGTGTTGCTTTTGCGCTGTTATTGAGCCTGAATTCGGTAACTTTTTGAGGTGCTTTGAGACCTTGGCGTAGTTTTGAGGAGAACCGAAGGCCGTAGGTCAAAATGAGGGAGGACAATGTCCAGCAAGAGGAATTACGTTGGCTGTTTCGTGGGTTAACGAAAATCGCAGGTTCGTCAGTTGTCGCCTCAACCGCAACTTCCATGCGATCAGACACAACCATTGAGGTGAGGCGGGAAGTTTTCGATCTGCGAGGGCAATCTCTCTTAGCTCTACCAGCAACTCAATGCAGGGCAATTATTCAGTTGCGGGTTGACACGCAAAGTGGGGGGGGGGAGTGGATTGGGGTGGTGACTGCCGACAAAAAGTTTCCTTTTTATGTGCCCGTTTTGGTGAGTGCTTCCTCTGTGGCTAATGCCGACACCCTCCTCGTTCGTGAGAGGAGGGGTTGAACCATTGGAATAAATCAGCGCTGGTTTAGATGACTATCAGCATGAAGCAAAATGACTTTTTTTTGCAACGGCCCTTACAGGAATTCGGCCAACTCGGATTTGGGGAAATATGCGTTTTTTAGAGGTTGTCAGTAGACCATCACTTTGGGCTTGCTTCGAAACCAACAGTTTGTGACTTCAAGTACTAAACCTCCGTTGACCGTCATCTCTGCTTTTTACTTTCCTTCAAACAGTTGATCATTGTTGTGGTTTTAGATTCTTTGCTGCCCTTGTGCCACATTTTGCGGTACAGAAGCTGATGACGTGACCAAACATTTTAAACACGGGGACATTTCGGCGTTGGGGTCTCCTTCGGAGAACAGACGGCAGTTAAAAAAAAATAGTACAAGTCATATTTCAGCGGGAGGAAGATAACTGGTGGCTTGAGTCGGTTCCCTTTGGCGAAGTGTCGAACAAGACCTTCTCGATTGAACGCAACAAAAACGTCCACTGTTGTGGCATCAACCATCTGAGGTAAATTGGCCCGCTGACACCACTCAGGTGCCCGGGGGGAAAAGTTGAGAACTAGTGGCGGTTGAGACACGACCGTTTAACAGGTGACACAACCAGTCGTGTTAGTTGCATCACTCCTCATTAAGGCATGTCTAACTAACTTGGGTTGTCGGTCAATACGGGCTGGGTGAACGTGTAAAGGTACAAATGGCTGAACGGTCGGGTGAATGAAACGGTCACCGTGGACGAGGTATATGCATAACGAGGGTATGGGCAGACGGTTTCGCTCGATCGACAGGAGTTGGCCTGAAAATTAGGCCAGAATATCGGAGAATGCAACACCCGGGTTAGTGAACGTGAATCAGTACGATTCACGACACATCTACGTCACCTGTTTCTTTTGAATTGAATATCATTGCTGCGGCGGCGTCGGTAGCGTCGTTTTCTGAGTCGAAGAATGTCTAAATTGATGGAAACAAGCCTTGTGCTCCGTGCAGAAGTAAGCGGATCACTCCAGCTGTCAGTAGGGCTGACTAATGATGGGCGGATTTAAGGATACTTGCTGGTTTGCTACGTCAGTAGAAACTGATCGCGTCAAGGGATCTCCAACGTTGGCGTGAATTGTGTGGTCTCGGTAATTTAAATTTTAGTTCGCAATCCCTGACACCACGTGAAAATGGTGCTCCATTTAAAGCTTGAAAGAATAAGCTTTATGGATCACGTTCTGTTACCGCGTCCCCAAAGAGTAATCTCGGTAAACACGTGATTGTAGTTTTGGGTCACATGAGAAAATGTTTTCTATTACCGATGTCGAGGCGATTGTTGAAGTACCAGCCCTTGTCTTGCAATCCTGTTAAACAAACGAATACTAGTTGGCGACTGTCTCCAGCGTTACATAGAGTAAAACTTGCTTATCCGAAGTGGTGGTCTTTCTTAAGAGAATTACATTCCATGAGTACTTTCGCAGACTTTTGTAATACATTTTCCATATCTGGACCAAATAATTTTCATTTTAAAAAAAACACTTTTTATGCCTACCCAGGAATTTTGCATAAAATCAGATCCTTTTCACCCAGCTAACACTAACTTTCCTGTTAAAGACTGCGATCATCTTAGTTAATTTTTGCCGATAGTGATTGAATGCACTGATCTGCATCGTCACACGACATCTTCACTAGCCCTTGTGTTGCGGGAATTGCTTTCTTTGCATTATTCCATCATTCGCATTTTCGGAATACCTCTGATGCTCTGGTGTAAACAATTGCGAAATCGGTGTGTCATATCAAAACAGGCTCATTCACCGCCTTCGAATGGGTCTTTAAGGTAATTTCACGGGCGTACATGAAGGCTCATCTGTGGTTACTTTGTGACTGATGTCGTAGTTGCTGTCGATTGTAAAGTGGCCGATTGGGGAGATGGGACCAGTTACCACCCTGCATTTGTGTGTCGTGAGTCCAGAGTTACCCGGCAAATCGCTATGAATTAACGGTGGTTATTGTCTTGTTTTCATTTCTGTTTAGGATAAGTATTTAGCGTCGTCGCCGAGTTCAGTTGAATCGCTTCCTCTTAAGATAGTAAGCCCATAGCTCTAATTGCTTCATTACCTAACCCCTTATTTAAAAAAATAACCACGATCATGCACTAATTTGGGCGTCAGAGAAAGTAATTGTTTGCACCTGATTCGCGTAGCGGCTTGATAATCAATCCTCCTCTAAATCCTTCGGGTCAGCAGTACTTATCGAATATTGCTTTTCTGATCATTCATCCCGTCTGGCTGTGTTTGTCAAATGCAGCATTTATTAAATATCTAGGGGTTGATTACTCTGGCTGAAGTTGGTTATCTGGGTAGTAAATTTAACCTGACTAACGTTTTCCGTAAATTAGCTGACAATTCTCGGCTAAGTATACTGGGCTTTAGATTACTTTTCCTGGAGTTGCCGCGCCATTTGTCTGCTGCGTTCAGAAATCGGTTAACTTTAAAGCGCTGTGCTGTGCGCACGCAAGCCCACTTCGAATCGCATGCAAACCGCCCTCAGTACGCGCAAAGTAGCAGTTTCTTGCCACGAAATCGTCGCAAAATCCAATCTTCAAGTCTAACTGTGTGTAGATCTTTGAATTCATTCTGTTTCCTGGATTTAAGTAATAGTTTATTTGCCCAATGTGAGGCATTTATGCATAATCGAACCTACAATGTGTGTATCGATTCGTCCCACCTTGCCATGGATCCCTCAAAACAAGTCCACAATCCACTTCAAATCTTCAAGTAGTTTCATTAATCTTCCCGCGCTCTTCACGAAGTTGTTATTGTGTCAAAGGACGAATCGTAAACATGTCTACCAGATTTCCTTTGCCTTAACCCACTCTCGACACTTCAGATAGCACACCAACAAATCAACCCTGTGCAAGAATTTGTCTAGGTGATGGAACGGCTTAAAACCCAACTAAGCAAATTTGCACAATTCGTTTCCATTTTCTCAAATCCCATTCAGACAAACGGTTCTGGAGTTATGCATCAATGCCTTCGCCACTGCAGACACAGCACTGAACGCTTGCCTCTTACTCCATCTTCGTATTGGTTGATTTTGAATCCTCGCAAACTTACCAACCCATTTCTCCCCTAAATAGTAGGCCTCTATTTTTCTAACTATTTGCTTCCTTTCTCTTCAAAAGTTTGTTTTCCTCGAACTGTGGAATTTTATAATCTTACTGACCAACTTTCATGTCTCCTTCCTCGTCCCCTTTTCTCCAGCGTCTTTGCTCATTCGCTGTAATCCGTGGGCTAGCATGCTACATTTGCAGTAATTCAATTGGACGTCTTTACCTTACGATCTCCGACACTCCTTGCTAAATTCTTCCTAGCTTGAAGCTTGCCTTAGTTTGCGCTTCTATCACCCATGCTAAATCGTATCTCCGCTGTCGCAAATAGTCTAATTAACTCCACTGAGGGTGGCTCAAAGCCAATCCCTGGCTTTAAAACGTTCTTGGTCGGCTGTGTCAATGTTCCTTAGAACCTTTCATGACGTCGGGGTCACCAATTGTGGGCCTCAGCATGTGGTCTTGAACCACGCCGGGGCCACTGAGTTAACTCTGGCCCGATTACGCTTCCCTACTACCCGCGATGAAGAAGACGCGGACACAATCGTTTACTTCAGAGCTCAACCACGTTGGTGTGGTGTGTGGCGTTGGCGCGTGTGTATTTGTAGCTCATATGTGTGCATCATCGAGACTCAGGTGTGAAACTAATCTAGGGTAAATGGTCTTGGGAATGAGGGGGAGTTGAGGATCCGTGCGGCTGGCAACATGCTGTGAGAAGGGGGATCCTGTGTCGGAGGCTGAGGTGATCGGATTACCGAGTGTGAACTAACGCGATTCAAAACATAACCACCCACCTCGTTGCTTTTCGAATTTCTTCGCTTTTTTGCCTAAAAAACTGCCTTCTTGAAACTGTTCCTTAGCAGGACCGAAGCATTCCAGCACTTTCTTGGCGTGTTTTTTACTACTGAATGGGTGCTTGAAAGCAACTAGGCTCTCGTGTTAACCCATTAATGTGAGGCAACGGAGCAAAATCACGTTGGCGAGCCCTTTTCCATTCATTCAGCGACAAACATGCCCACGTAGTCTCCGAGTTGATGCCAGTTCCCTAGTTTGTACTGTCTCTCATGTGTGCTCTCTCTTGGAATTTATACACTTGCCGCTTCAGATTATTCGCAATCAATGCCCGGTGTTTCTAATTGGTCATATTGTTCAAAAACAAGCCGTCCTGCACATAAATGTATCCACTTCAATATTGGACAAAATTTGTGCTATTCGAAAACTTGACATACCGTCCACGGTCAACCCATCGGTACACAATTTCCTAGTGATTGTTTATTAGTGTTATGAATTTGGGTGTTCGTCATGCTAAAAAAAACATAACTTCACTCTCTGGATTATAAGAAAACGTTAGAGTTTAAATAATTCACTATTAGGTAATAGAAGTGGACAAAATATTGCTACTTTATTCTGATTCTGCTTAGAAGCCTTGTTATAAGACCACCTGCATCGTCTGTTTTACCGCCATGTTGGCGTGGGTATGGCTCCTGGATACCTGGCCTTCAACTAGGGCGAGAATGTCCACGAGAAAGGCGCATATAGTGCTCCCATTAACCCCAAACTTGACCTGCGTCGAACATTTTCCTGCTCTAATGCACGCCCACCAGGGCGCTATTCAGTGAAACGGTGTCGTGGGCGGCTGGGCACAAGACCACACCCACCCCACTCCAGCGTTCATGATGTTGTTTGCCTATAACCTTTTGCATTGAGAAGTTGGGTCGCCTGCTGTGCCGGTCATCGGGAGTGCGCAAACGGTGAACTCGCAAGTGGCGCTTACCTGTCTTCCGGTCGTGGCATAACTACCCGAAACACTAGTTCTTTTGCGTGCATTTAGCTAAAAAAGCAAGGTAAACAATCACGTGACCGCATCAGTTTTTCCTCCAAACCTCTATAAAATGGGAAGCTCACTTTCAAGTTCTGGCGCCTCGGGCGTTTTTTTATGGCGTAAATGCATGTCTGCTTTTCACCGAATGCGTTAAGTGGTATGGAAGTGAAGACTACTTTTCAAGCTTATTCTTCGAGACAAGCAGTGTTCTAGTTTGCCTGCTTTTTTGTTCCTACTTCGGGTTTACGACCTAACCACGATTTGATTAAGCATTTTCCTGGTGAGTGAACCCCACTGTGTCTAAATGCTTCGCTAACTAACGTAGCTATTGCCATCGGCTTTACTGCCGTAGGCTCGAACTCTACCAAAGCTGCGCCGATGCGCGCATGACGGTCAAACTAGTCAATCAGCCTCCATTATTTTTGCACCTGGCTAAATGCTTTGTTTTAGAACTGGCACGAGATGCAGTTGAAAAGACATGGTTGTTCCACCAAGAAGAACAGGATGGCTGCCAGTCTTCAAAACTTCGACCCAAACCCAGCCGCCAGGTTGTCGTTGCCGGTCTTTATTCCCCCGTCTCCGATGCCTATTCCAAAGCAGGCCTTGCTTCAGCTGGCTCTCGTTGCCGATTGGCCCGTCTTGCCTGCTCAACAACTTCTGATTGGCTTGCTGTTGACTCATGGGAGGCCTCACGCCCCGATTGGACGCCCACGCGTAGGGTCCTTGAACGAATTCAGACACGACTCCAACGTATATCCAGGTCTTTGTCAGTTGATGAGGCATCAGGAGAAGGCATTCCGATCGTTGAACCGGAGGCTTTAGCCGAAATCGAGGATCCTCGCTTCGGAGATGTTTCAGGTAAAGCTGTGGTGCGCGTCTCGGTAATCATTTTTCGCATATAGATACTGCCCTTTCTGGTATTTTAAACTAGTTTGATTCTAATCGAAGTTAAATAAATTTCTAAGCTCTAATATCGCTTATTTATCTTCTGTAACGTCTCAAATGTAATATGTTAGCATGAAAACTCAATCAAGATTCTTCGTCACCATAGTTACATTTAGCAAAAAAATTAAAATCCAACTGCTGGGGGATTTGCTGCATTTTTCGCGATTATGGTAAGTGGTCGCGATTAGTTATTGCGACGCTCGCTACTGCCGCGACTCCACAAGTGCTCTTTATGCTCTTACCCGCCGTTTTGACTATTTATGTGCAAATAAAGTTGGTTTGCCCTAAAATGACGTGCTGCGGGTTTTATGCTGTCGGAAGCGAGTTTTTTTGATATTCTTATGCTAATCTAGAGTTCGACTACTAATTGACTTCAAATTCTCGCCGAACACACCCACACTTAATCCCAATAACTTTTAACTTCGTGATTGTTCCCTCTGTTGAAAAAAAAATGCACAAGCTCCCTCTGTAAGCTTACTTTGCCATTTGAAGGCTCGCGAGACGAGGATGCCTGTAGGGGATCGGCCACAAACGCCTGGCTGGCCTCTCACTTGCAAGCGGCTACCAGAGTTGACTCCATGGTCAGTGGTCGGTGTTGTTGTGGTCGGGAACGTCAGGGCAAATCCGATGGACCCACAGCACTACCAAAAATCCGTATCAAATTCGTCTGTGGGGCGGATCTCCTGCAGTCCTTCGCCACTCCCAAACTCTGGTCTGAAGACGATGTTAGTTGATGTTTTTTTTTCGCGTTTGCCTTTGTTTTGTTGACGTCCCGGCACAAGGAAAATGTGAAGCTCAGAGACAATGGAAATGCGACCGTTTCCTAGTCGGCTCAACCAGATTGTGTCGTGTGCGCTAGATCGTAACTGTGTCTACGAGGTCAGTGCTTGTTGATTGTCGTAATCAATACAAGTCAAATGACGGATTATGCATTAAGTAGGCACTTGTGGCCTGAACGGTGTAGAGCAAAGAGTAATGCGAAGGCACAATTTACTACAGTTTCGCATCAACTAACAACATAAGAAGTGGTGCGTTTGGTTCTGCTGCAGTTATCTTAAAATCTGAGGCCAGACTCAGTTGTAACGCTTCTAAAATTGATTCTATAATGAGATTAAGGTGAAACCCCTGTGTAAAAATCCAGTGAACCCTAATATGTAGTATAATGCATCTCTTTTTCAGATGACGGCATTGGTGCGAGATTTCGGGATAATTTGCATAAGTCGACCAGAATCAAACTCTTCCCGTCTGCTCTTCGAACTGGATATTCTCTCTCGTTATGAGGTTGGTAGTGATTACGCGTTGTGGCCGTTTCCTCCCATTCATCGATCATTCCCTTCGCCCTACCAGAAGACGGCTTCGGTTCAAATTGTCCTGTGGTTTAAATGTCTCTTCCCAAGACTTGAAGGAAATCACTCTTGAGACGTTGGAGGCCATTGCTATGGCTACTAAGCTAGTCTTGTTTTAGGTACTTAGGCATTCAGAACGCTCCTCGCAGCGAGGGACCTCTACTCATTGGGAAATTATTGGTCTACCTATCCACTTTTCGAAAAGCCTATTGTTTGACTGTAGAAAGTCGGAAAAACTGTTGAAGGGAAACCATGGGTCACAGACGCATTGCGCCTTTTTCTAATTTATCCCAGAAGGAATTGTGAGTACCTTAGTCGCAAGGCACTGGCGTGACGTGCTTCTCATAACCTTTATTCCACTAATCTGGTGAACACCATTTAGGCGGTGGTATTGCAGGAAAATACTCTTCCTTCTGAGAAATAAAAACAGGTATGCTTCGCTGCCAATGCATGAAATGCCAAATGCTTTTACTACGATTAGCTGACGTACATGCACGGTGTATTCTTATAGATGCCTCCACAAACCTAACCTCCTTGTACCCTCGTAATTTGTGGTTTAATTCCCACATTGCCTCGTTTCTCCTCTATCCTTGTAGCAAAACGTCATTCTTGTGACAGAATGGTGCCAGAACGGTTTGAGCGCAACTCTGGTCCGTCGGGCGCTGTCTCGCGGGCAGTCCGTCCGCTACCTAGTGCCCGACGCGGTTCTAGAGGAGATCTACTCCCGTGGGCTCTACGGTGCTGCGCGACCTCCACGTCCGCGTTTTGCGTCTTCTTCTGGGCCTCCCCCCAAGGTGGAAGTACAAAACGCGAAAGAAAAGTCCGACGAGGAGTCGGAATGCCCCGAAGACCCGTCTAGTTGGTGAGCTACACTTCACTTTTGAAAGGAAATCACTAATTATGTCGAGGGTCTCAACCGTTTATCAGATGGCTCCGCCACGTTGTGAATCGCGCTGCATCCTCGAAAGTTCATGTCTTGTAAAAGTACAAGTAGCTGGGTGGCCAGTTGAGTGGAATGTGGAGCGGACTGGTGTATGCATAGACATGTGTGAGCAAACGATGACAGAGGGAAGGTTAAGGGACGTGTATGAGCACGTTTAACAAAAAGTACTGTAACGAACATTAAAGGTAACTACCAATATACATCGTTCAAACCTCCAACTTACGATGTTCTACTGGGTTATTGATATAGTTATTTGACTTGGTCTATGTTGGGGCGTTTTTTCGCATGGAAAAGGTCTGCCTATCGTCGTCATTGTTTAAGTAAGCTTTGCGAGGTAGGGTCGAGATCTATCCAGATACAAGCACGAATGAAAAAAACTGCTTTTAAACCCTCTTGCTCTGCCAGTTAAAGTTGTTCGAGCACCTGAATAGGTGGTTTTTTTTACTGGAAAAAGTTGGGCATTGTTTTCATTCATTTCCAGCCACTTTAGGCGAATGGGTTGACATGGAAATAGCCTCGATTTCATTGTTTGTCTTGAAAGACTTCTGTAAGTGCTGTGATTTTTTCCTGTTGACTTTTGATAGATTTCACTTTTGGCTTACAGTTCTCTCTTCGGCAGTTAGCTTGGGGTGAATTTTAACGTCAAGTGCCATTACACATGTTTTCGGCTTTCTTCAAAAACCTTTGTTTATTTCCGTAAACAGGGCGTTTTGTGTAGTTTGCAGTACTGTTTGAAACCAATGCCCTTGCGAATATTTTTACCGTTGTAGTCGACCTATTGATGTTAGTGATGACCATATCAAGGCCACAAGTGAACCAAGTCGCGGTCATGTAAGTGTGCCACTGCGGAAACGCTAAATGTTGTATCAGACACGACAACTGCGGATCACTTGAAACGTCAAGGACTTGACAAGAGGACACATGAGGACACATCTTTGCCATCTAGTTAACAATAACCAAAGCTTGGATGGTATGCGGTGACGTGTTTGGTACCTTACGGTCCTGACTTGACACCTTCAGACTAACGGCTGCTTCTAAATTTGCCAAACTCATTGAATGCTGTAAAGTCGAGTGGTGATGACGATCTGAAATCCCACGTGGTTCCGCCTTTTGTTGATGAGAACCTGCACTTCAATGAGCGCGGGATCCTGAATTTGCCAGAATGATGGCAAATTTTAATGCAGCAAAATGAACAAAGTGCATATTGAGTTCAATTGCACTTATTGCGTTAACATGCGAAACCGATATTGCATCAAATGTGAGTCCTTGAGTACTCTTGTCCACCTCCCCCTTAAATTTAAAGTCACTGATCGCCTCTTTCCGGCCACCTTTTTGTGATCCTTTTCATTGTCAATTGGTGCGAGTGGTAGAGGGCATGAACGGACACACGGCGTTTAGCCTAATTTGCTTAAGTGCTTAAGTCGGGAAAGCAGGCCAATTTGTACTAGTTGGTGGTGGCGGTGGTGGGCAAATCCTTCCAATTTCCCTAATGAAGAGATTCCATTAGTGAAAACTGTTAGCCTATTTTTGCGTCATTTAATTACGCCTACACATTTTCATTCCGGCGAAACAGGGACTTGTGCAAGTTTTGCCGCCTCGAAGGACGCTCAATTTAGAGTCGCGTTTATGCAAATTAATTTGTTTCAGTAGATGCAATTACTTAAAACACCTTTACGTCTAAACACTCGTTGGTGAGTAATCAAGCATCGGCCCTTATTTCTTGGTGTTTTAGCCAGTTACCTTGTGCTAGTCGGTTTCTAGCCTTCGATATGAAATGTACTTTTGCTAATAAGTGGCGTAGTCCCTGGTGGGTATACTGCATTATCCACTCGTTCGACTTGGGGGTATCTTAAATTTTGCACCTTCTGATGGCTTTTCTGCTCTCAAGTGGGCCACATTATCTTAACGACACAATCTAGGTGGATTTGTAGTGACGCCGTCCTTTGAATGCCGTATAAGTGGGTGATGAGTCGGATTAGGCAACCGTATGCGTGCAAAACGCGGTAAAAACAGGTTATGAGATTTAACTTTAACATTGGGTTGCCGGTTAACAACGGAGCTAAGCTCCATGCACATCATTTGCCATTGAAATCCAGGTGTTCTGGACACGACCAAAATGCGGTGTGGAGTTCCTCCCACGTCCGCTTGGGCATGTCGCCAAAACTCTATCACCAGTTTTTAAGGGGAGTGAATTAATCCCTGTTAGGAAGTGTCCCTTTCATGTGACTGTGCCAAGTGAGGGACAATCCGTTTCTAGGCCTATAAAAGCTAACAACAGATACACTCACGTTGCGCCTTGAGTCGTTGCTTGCGTGGCTGAGGCTTGGGAAACCCTGAACAGTGGTAGTCGGGTTCGAGGTGTCCCACGTCCGACTGCCATGCAAAAACTTTGGCGCTCTCTTCGTCAAGTTATTATAGCGTCAAACATTGATTTTTGTGGACTTTCAAAGCAGAGACATTTTGGGGGTTCAAGGTATCAGGCAACGCCTCATCTGTGGTAGACGTAATTTGGCTTCCGGTTGCCATAGACTGGTTGTTTTATCGAGATCCAACCTTCTTGGTGTTCCCGGTGTCCCAACGTTAACACACGCGAGGCACTCTCGTCCTTCATTAGTTCTCGTGGCACGGGTTTAAACAGCATTTCAGTTCATTTCAGTTTTTCGCGGTTTGAAGAAGTTGTTAAAGTTGCCATCGGAAATATTTCTGGTAGACATGTTTCCCCTTTCTTTCGTTTAGTATAGCAAGCGTTTAATGCGAGCATTCCTCGTTCTTGTTCGTTTCTAAATTAACTCTCTCCTGTTGATCAGTTTTGTGTTAATACTGAAGGTGATAAGTAGTCGCCCCTGAAACTAATTTTCTCAATTAGTTTTAGTAGAACCCTTGGGTAATTTTAGGTTTGAGTTAACCTTTAAAACAAACTCGTTGCCCTAATTTTTTCCATCTTTGTCAGTACTAAGCCACAGCGTGAATTCCATGAAACTTCCCTGGATGTTAAAGAAGTCCTATCGGTTCTGTCAAGATTAGATAAGAACGAAGTAGACTTGGCTGCTCTCGATGCAAATGTTTGGAAAATGTTTCTTTACAAAGTAGTATTAGTTGGGTGTGGTTGACTTTTTTCCCTTAGGATAGTCCAGAAGCACTCCTTCTGGTGTTCTAGGAAATGGCAACAGTAATTCTTGACAGTTGGTGTATCGGTGTGTAATGGACTGTCGGCGATTGCGCATGAGCGAGGCGTCTTAACAGAACTTTTGGTATCGACGACTCATTCCCATTTTTCACTGGTTGCTGTTGCCGGTCGTCTGTGTTACGCACGCTAACTCATCCACCCACAAAGACTAATGCCCGCTGTCGCCTTCCCTTGTCTCGGCGCCTTGGTTGTTACGGTTGTAAGGTGGTGCGAGCAATCTACTGCAGGTTAGATAGTAGTAGTAGTACTCCCTAAGCCAAGCCCGAAAAATTGACTTCGTGCGAACGCGGACTTAATAGGTCTTGCATCAATTCCACTGAAATCGATTTGTACTCAACCTTTCCTATACCCCCTAAACTAAAAGCCTACACCGAAAAGTCCAGTTCGTGGAATTCCCTCCTAGAAGCCTCGACCATATTTCTACGACCGAATTCCACACCGGTGCAACAGCCTTGGCATTTTTCGCAGTGATTTTAATCTCATCCAACTCCTATTAATGATTTTTTTTCTGAACTTTGATATCCTCATTCCAAATCGATCAATATTTAGTGCCTATTTTAATTTACAAGTGCTCACCTACTATGGAACTAAATTAAAATATCAACTTAGAATGCGTGTCTTCCAAATATCTGCTCCTGATGTGTCATTTTAAGTACCCACATCAATGCTGAGTAATTTTTCTGGAAAGAATTTGGCTCGCCTGTGCGCTGGAGTCAAGGCATGAATTGAATATTTTCTCAGCAGTCTCGGGTGTGGAATGTTTAATGTCCAATCCATAAATTTTAAGCAATGACTGCTCATAAAGTAGCTAGTTGAAGATGCTTTTGTTTGTATGTACGTGTTGTTTTTTGCCTTATTACCTTGCAGAGTACTGCGACTTCATCCCCTTCTTTCTGCATGCCTCCTTACTCCCTTGCATGTCCTCCCCAAACCGGTGTTCATCTTCACATCCTCTCGGCTCCCTTTGCAAGGAGTCAATCAGTGTATTTTTTTACTGCCTTCAGTGAACCCTGCCTGTCCTTTCATTGCTGTTAAATAGCGTGTAGAATATATGCAATACACTTCTCTTATTCATCATTATCATTGTGTGCATCTTTTTTGTTCAGCGCAATGGAAAGCGCATAGCGGCATTTTGGTCATCGAGGCGTTAGTAATTGGTGTCACTTTAAAACACCCGTTCCAGAACACTTCCCGGCTCACCAGCCCTTGGGTTGACCCGCATGGAACAATTTGAGCTATCAAACTGTTATTTTGTGCGACGAATCTGTTGATCATCCTCTTTTAGCAATGTGGATGACGTGGGACCAAAAAATATGGCATTTCGGGGTTAGGTAAATCTACCAACTCATAAACTCCACAGCACCATAAAAATGAAGACTAAGAGGAAGTGCCACCATTTTTGGCATCCTTCGACCGATACTGCTTTATTTATAGTCGCATTTGTCGCACCATCCGGATGGGAGTTGAACTGGGCTATTGAAGAAATGTGATCGGTCGAATTGTTATTTAAAAAATCCAAGCTATCATTGGTTGTGCCATAATCCTAACGATAATTACTTTCCACCTGGGTGGTCAGTGGTTATGCCCGCCATTCTCAACAGCTGTCTGTTTTTCAATTCGGTGCACGTGAATGCGCGCGGACTTGGCGCTGGAGGATTTTGGAAGCTGGGATCTACTGAATCCAAGTGAGGGGTGTGTGTGTTCACCATTGCTTAGGCACCCAAGCCTATGTGTGATGCATCGAATGGGAAGTGCTTTGAAAGGGCTACCAGTTAAATTTGTTTAAGATGATTTAAAAGACAAGGCTGCCGTTCATAGATTTGGCGGGACGTTTGTTTAGACTGGAAGAAGTAGGGGGGGTTCGAACCGTTCTCCAGACGTGACTGGTCATTTTGTCCAGCCGACTTAATCGGCATATGACTCTACTCACCAAGCGTCGTTTTTCGACCCGAATCCCACTGAGATGTGTCTATTAACTTTGACTTTGGGCTTGAAATCTGACGATCTTGCTGATCGTAACGTGGTTAATTTCGGTTTTCCACTGCTTGAAATCTAACAGTTCTAGTTGACCCAAACGCAGTCTCTGGAACCTTTTGCCAACTTAAATCGTTGACTGTAAATTGGGTCTCACCTTCGTGTTATTAGGGGCAGTTTTTGATGCAATGGCTAATTCGTTGTCACACCGCCTAATAATCTGGTTTTCTATCAAAACTGGACAAACCTGGGTGTGTTGGTGCGATTGATGGCTCGTTTTACCTGATTCCACACCAGCAGTTGCACATGATTCCATAGGAAGTAAACTGACAACGTCAATGTTCATCACCACCTTCTGTAACGCATCCCATACTTTCCTTAGCGCATTATTAGCGACCTCTTCAAAATATTTAAGCTAAACATCATTGCATGGTGTTCCTGTGATGACTACTGGACGGAATGTTTTTGGCCAAATCTGGGGATTTATTTTTTATTCTCTAGGGTAACTATTTCCCAGTAAATATGCACTTGTGCATTATTCACTACCGTACCTGACATTCTTTCAAAAGACACTTAAATTTAATCTTTTCGTGATATACTGAGGCGTAATTTAATCTGGTGTGTTCCTGTTTTTGGTCAAGCTTTTGTTTATGCCTGCCAAGGCCGCAAAATACCCGTTCGACTGCAACTCCTTGTTACGATCCCTGAAATTCCATTGATAATTGAACAAATTTCTGCCTCGGCGCCACCCAACAGAGCTGGACCAAAAATAGCCCTGTTGCCGGAGCAGAGCAATTGGCTTGGACAATCAGTCGTACTAGGCGTTAACACATTTGAAATCGCAGAATATTTTTGTTTAAATCAAATTAGCTTATTTATCGATTCCTTTTTTAAGTGATTATACTTTCATGAGGGGTGAGGTACGGCTACTCTAAGCATTTATCGTATGGGCTAATATCTTTCGGGCAGTTTGCCGATCGATCCGTTTAATTCTATCTGTCGCCTAATCTGCCTTTATAGGCACTGGCTTAATTTAAAATTCGAAGTGTAAATACGTAGCCAATGCACCGAAAATGCATTATTTGATTTCCTGTCCAGAGGTTTGTGTTCTTTGTTCATCTCGAGGAAGTGATTCTTTGGTAGATAACCTGAAACTTTTGGAAGTCACACGTTGTGTAACAAGCTGATTTCCATACTTGACGAAGGAGTTTCTGTATTACGTTCGGCAAGTGGTGTTGTGACCGTCTTTCAGAATCAACATTTTACACTGATTCCCGACTGGCTCTCTGCGGGTGTGCTTATGAAGTAACTTAACTCTGCACATTCTCATTTCATCTCTCGTTTTTCTGTGTCAGTTTTTCTGGCGATGGTATTGTCTCCGCTCCCGAGGCGCCAATCCAACTTTCGGAGACGGGAACCGATCCTCTTCACGTTCAGACACGCAGCCACTCAGTGCAGACTCGTCTCTCCTCCCTGCCCAGCCCGCATTCAGGAGCAGCCTCCCAGGCTTCAACTGCAACCTCTACGGGTCCGGTCATCTTGCATCAGGTCCTCATCGACCCCTCGGTGGAGGCGCAGTGTGAAAAGGAGGAAGACAGCGGCCTCACTGCAATCCTCCCTCTGCTGAAGCAGTGCACCAGGTGTGGGTCACAACGAGTGCGACTGCTTCTTGTGGAAAAGCCGCCATTAATGGTGCCACCGCAGTCAGCCTTATCAGCTGTTCACACACCGAGACACCACCATCAGTGTAGGACGGAGTCATTGCTACAGCCGATGATTTCACCAAGGGCAGCTCAATCAAGTAGGAAACCGAATGACCACCACAACCATCATCGACATCATCGACACCAATCCACTCTGAGGTCGCAAACTCAACCAATTAAGTACGCGAACAGAAATATGTGTGTTAAATTGTGTGTAGTTAGCGTTGATTTTTGCCAATACTGCGACGTTGGTAATACTTAAGGCGATTCATAGAGCCAAATTTTACAAAGCGTTGTTTGTTAACAGTATTTACTAGTATCTGCAGCCCATGCTCGATTTACCAAACTAGACACTTGCGTTGTGTATCTAATTTTGTCCGGCATTTAAATTTCGGTCACAGTTGCACAATCGTGTGCTAGACTCTAGACATGCAACTGTTTTATTGAGCATCTTTTGAACACTGCCTTGTAGGTCCTCTGGCAACTGGACTCACCAGTTGGCCGGTGACAGGCCACGTATATCCCCTGCCAGTACGATAAAATTATCCGAAAAAACTTCACTTCAACGTCATCGCCCTCCATGCATTCACCATCAACGTCGGGTACCTGAGGCCCCAAGCAAGGGCCGTTCCTCGGCTAGAGATGCACCTTCCCGGGATTTGCACCGCCACCGTCACAACACTGTTGCTAAATCCTTACCTTACGTCCCCACAAGAATTCCACCACCCCCCAACGCCCTCCTTGAGAACCCTGTGTCCGCGGAACCATTCCAGCCCACTTCGCGAAGCCATGACATCCGAAGTACCGCGCATGACAGTCGACGTCCGGGCCCACGCGAACCACGCCTTGAAGGTGAGCGTTGACATCAACTGAAGGCGTTTTGTCAGTAACGGCCAGGGCATTTATGAAGTACTAAGTACCTCAGTAAAATTGTTGCTTACTTTTACAATATGCGGAGAAATGATGAGTAGCGTTTCACGTGGCAATTTTTGAGCATCCCAGATTGCAAATCTCCTGTTCTCGTTTAAGTATGCGCTTTATTCACTGTTAGCCATGCGATCAGCCTCGTGTAAACACATTGTTTACAAATGTCGTCCAAACAGCTCGCTGTCACTGCGCTTGTGTGCTATAGCTTCTGTTCTCGTCTTGTGCCTGAATATTTCCCTTTAAATACCACGTATTTAAAGGTATTATCGTTGTCTATCAATGTCTGTCAGTTCACCAACCGAGAAATCCCCTTTTTGATGGCTTTCTGTAGAATCCTTCTTGGATGCTATCCAGTTATGCATGCAGGTTGTTTGTGGCTGCCTTTTCACTGCTGTCCCGGTGACCAAAACAAGTCCATTTCCCAGTTCACGACTCCTATCTAAGTTTGAAGACAACCTCTGTAGGCAGCATCATACGTGTTTGCTGTGACGACACACTGATGTGGCGTTGTTCCATGGAGAAATATTTTGCTGTTATTTTCTTTTCCAAACCACAAGTCGCTGCTAAACTTGAATTTCCAGTGTAAATTACCGAATTAAACCCATCTAGAAGGCATTACACGATAGTCGGCATGGATTGACAGTATCCTATTGTCAATTTCCGCACACACCTACATCATTTGATCATATTCTCTAATTTTGATGCGCCGCTTAAGTTTCTCGTCGTTTTTGTTCTGGGCTCTAATTATCTTCCATTGATTTACACCAGCGGTAATGGGACTGTTAAGGTGTAAATATTTTTATGACAAATATCTGGCAACTACAACTTGCATTTAACTGTCATCATCACTGATATCGTGTTTCAGGTTATGGGGTAAACATATTATGTGAAGAACTATGAGTTAACCCTTTCCACCAACAACCTTCTACCCAGATTTTGCGTACTAGATTTAAGACGCGCCGAAGAAGTATGGAAACGGCTGGTTACACGTTTTACCTTCACCTCATACTTTATTGATTTTAATGTATTGATCGGTTATCTGTTTTACTGTGAATATTCGATTCTGATTTTTTTTTATCATTATGAGCAAAATCCGCAAAAATAGTTAATTTTTTATCGCGAGTAATTTCGCAAAATTCGTAATTTATGTCGATTTAGTTGATCATGGTTAATTGGGTAATATTTCATAGTTTGAGCAGTCACTATGATTGAGTCCTAGCGGCTTACTTGAAGTGTGTACTGTTGTGCTTTTAAATAGGCTTTGCCAAATTTTCTAATTTGATGGGATTACTGTCTAGAAATCACTAGTTCCTCATTATCTGTTTTATCAGAAGTTGGTTTTCTGAAATAATGTTTTAGATTAAAAGTGAATCGACAGAAAGTGCGTTTACGTGTTTGTCACCGGAGCAGTAAGTACTCGGGGGAGCAGGTGTCAAAATCTCGTTTTTTGAGGCCATGAGCTTTGGCGAATCAATAATTGACGCCTAGATATCACATGACCGCGAAATTTCAGAAAATCTCAAATGATCCTTTTAATTTATAATCCCCTGTGCTGCTTTGTTTATAGGTGATGGATCAGCAACCCCATCCACTGCAGTTTCCAGTGTCCCGACGTCACTCCCGAGAAAGGCCACTTCTCGAACGCATCGCCAGCTCCTCACACCTCCTGCTGTCGAGGCTCAACCCGCACCCCCCGTCGCTCCTCGATCTCGCCGCAATCCACCAATGGCCCGCACAACAACCTCCCTCAGCCAACCCAGTTTACCCCAGAGGGGTGGCCACCGTAGAAGCTACGACGAGGTCGACTTCCTCCTCTATAACCTGTGCTTAAATATCGAAAGCGCACTCTGATTTCCTCACTGTCCACTGTCACGTCAATAGGTCTCGCTCTGGCTGATTGCATCAAAAAGACTCTTCTCCTATCTTTCGTATGTCTTCCCTAACGGTTCCTCCGCAATAGCTCCTCAACATGCTATGTTGAGATACATATCTAGATATAGAAATATTCCATGCTCCCGAAGATGTGACCTACAATTTGATGACTATTTTATTTATCCTAGCACTTTTCTGTTCCCCACACCAATGCATTTAGAATTCTGTGTATTTTTCGCTTCTCTATATCTTTTCACTCGACTCATAGCTCAAATACGAAGTTGCGCTTATGAATCTGCCCTCGAAATTCCCTCTGGTTATTCCCAAATACCTAGATTTACTGTATTTTTAAGTAAAACCTCAAGGAAAACAAGTTGCTGTATATGTTTCTTATTTGAACCTACCCGTTTACCTCTGATTCTGGAAAGAAACGATTCTATTACCAAATGCAACACGAAAATGTACGAAACAAACTCTTATCACATCCGTGTGTTGCTCGTGTTTTTACGACACAGGTTCGTGTCATTATGAGAGAAAATCCTCCCTAAAATCTTGCACCAAAACTGCTTGGGCTTCGCTATGTCCCTCATTTGGTGGCCGCTTAGTTTCCAAAATATCAGCAGTTTAATTGGCGCAAGTTGTTGGGACATAATTTTCAGTCAGGTAGGTTGTGAATCGTGTTTATTCACACCCCTTAATCCGGTCGCTTAACCTCCGACACAGGGTTTCACCTTTTCGCAGCATGTCGCCCGCCGAGCCGATTTTCAACCCCCCCCTCATTCACACGGATATTTGGATAATCCTCACACCTAGGTCTCGACGTTAGCACATGCATGACCCACACATCCGAGGTATAAATACACACGCACAAATCCAACACACGACAAGACACCAACGTCGTTGAGTTCTGTGTGTCCACGTCCTCACCGATCCTATTCTTCATCGCGGATATCAGGGAAACGTAATCGGGCCAGGGTTAGTTCCGTGGCCCCGGCGTGGTTCAAGACCACATGCTGGGGCCCACAACAAGGCCATCATTTACAATCGCCACTGTTACTTGAGCAAGTTCTGACAGTAAATAATGCAGGTAAGCATTAAGAAAGGAAAAGCAGAAGTCGGCTAATTGATTTGAATTCATATAATGCTGTGTGCAAACGTAATGCAAGTCCTATTCGCAGCGAAAACGGTAAGGTTGAAATGTAGTAAAATGGGCTTTTCTAATTTGGTGCTTGTGTGATGGTACTAATTTAAATTATGTCTAGTTTACGCGACTATGCCATTTTAGTGCTTTGGAAACTTTCGCGGAATTAACGTTTTGCTGATATACATTTAGAGAAACAGCTTCATGGTAATGTTTTGAACACAATTTGTTGACTACTTTAATTAAAATGAACGTTGGTAGGGAATTGCTTTGATTAATAGTATCTTGCTTAATAGTTTAAATGCAGGGCAATCTATCCAGAGTCAACGAAATATTAATTGTTATCGAAATGCATCATCGATTCTGAAATCCCTTTTTCACATAAATATCAATTATAATTTTGGCCATAAAAAATGACCATTGTATTGTGCAGAGGTTTGTAGACTTACCGAATTCAAAATTGAAATATAATATTATGCCGATGTGGTCATATTCATGTACCTCTAAACCAGCTCTACACAAAACATTATTTACGGTTTAATCTACTTGAAGAATGCTACAAGACGGCCATGTGAGTCTCGGCTTGGTACGAGTTGTGTGGGTTGAATGACTGTCATGTAAGGTTACCCACCAATTTTTAAGTTGCCTCACAAGTGCCGGATTTTTTTATGCTATAAAATCAGCTTTTAACAGCGAACCTATCCATAAATCGCTATACCTAGGTGGTAAAAAATTTTGCTGGTTAGAAGATCATGAAACCGCGCACATTTGGAGTCACGTTTACACAATTACCGTCCAACAGCCCATATCCCAGCGCGATTCCCTCAATTCCCATCAGATTGTGGGAGGAATGGACAAGAGTGCGAAAAATGTCCTTTATAGTTTTTTAAATTAGATCGCCGATCTTAAAAATCGAAGCACTAATGTGAAATTATTACAGAAGCATGGAGCATAAAAATTGCAATCCCTTCCCTCTTTTATCGACCATCCAGATGTAATTTTATACCAAACCGCTGCATATTTTTGTTTGTCGTAGTTCAGGTCTGGATATTTTGAAGTCATTTGGTTTTGTGTAGACACAGTCCACTGTCATGAACTCATCGGTTTGCTGGTAACGGCCTTTGGCAGCAGTGGTGGATGAATCATTTCACAGTAGGCAATTTGTATACTGTTTCCTATGGGGCTGACATTCATTACTTCACACACCTGAAAATTCAAAATAGTAAAAATTGAGTTACCTTCATAATTAAACTAAAATTAAACGGCCGAAACTTAATTGTCCAAGAAGCATAGTAAAAGGGAAGTGAGTTAGTGCAGCATTTTATTTACCTCGAAAGTTATAAAACAGCAACAAAGTTCATTCACATGTGAAGGGAGTAAATAAACTACTGGGATTCGCGATACTTTTGATGAGTCACAACTAAAATTGATTGGGTTTTTAAAACAGAAGTCGAATAATATAAATTGCCGAAAAAAATGTCAAAATTATCGGATTCACCACTTTCCTTAAAAACAAAAATTCCAATAAGCTGAAATGACACTATCTAAACACCCGACTTATAGTTTTAAAAACCTTTTTAATGTTGATATTGCAGGTGAGGAACAAAAAACAATTTTGGCCGATTTCTTCGGAAGTGAATGTTTGGAAAATCCAGATAAACCTTGGTGACTATGCGTTTGTATAGTTCTGATGCACTTTTAATGGGGACCCAAATTTCATAACGGTCTCACTGAAGAAAAAGTTAATAAAACTCCCTCCGTATTACCAATACCAATTTAGTCCACAAATAACATTTAAGTAGTCTTATTTACTGGAATGATGTTTATTACGTAATCAAGCTCGGTAATTTACTTGCAATACCCTGAGTCAGGATAAAATGGTCTCCGATATTATGGCTAAGAATTTTTCCTATGTCAGTTAAATTAGAAAAATATCTGGCAGGTGTTAAATTTGTGGCTACTTCGTTGAAAATCAGATTCATACAGAACAGCACTGGTGAAATAATTACACTCTCAAGAATGTAAACTTAGCAACCTGTATCAAGCATGATCCGGTGAGGCTTTCCAGTCATACTTCTTCGATGAATTCGACATCTGCAAGGAATTGTTCCACAAATTACTGGCTAATCTACACATCAACTTCATTTACGGTGTTGTTTGTACATATGAGCAGATTTTATGCTAACCCGGCTGTTGCGAGTGGCATGCTGTATGCTGAATCCCTGGCTACGACAAGAGCAGTTGTAATTTAATTGAAAACTTTTTTTTGCCAATTTTTGAGATAATTTTTAATGATATTAACTTGTGGCATTAAGAAAACCAAGTGTACACGGAATATAAACTAAATTATCCAGAATACGCTTCAACAGATATCTCTGGACATTTGTAAAACAGCTGCAGTGGCTAGCATTTCAGCTTGCAATGTGAGAAATTCGGTTAATACACAGCAGGCAATGATAGACTGCGGTATTCACACTACAAAAGACTCTGACTCCCGCAAGAAAGTAGAATAATCACCATATTGGGCGAATGCATTTAGACACAAATCCGGGTAAAATTATCCTAAAAAGTTGTTTAAATTAAAATAATAATTCACGAAAGCAAATAACTTGACTAAGCAAAATCTTACATTTATTATGTGGGTATGCTTAAATGTATTCGGCAACAAAAAAGCGAGTAGAAAAAAACACCAAAAAAACAAATGATTGCAAGGCAAGCGTTAGATTTTGATTATCAATGTAACGGCAACATTAAGGCGGAATTGAATAAAACCAAATGCAAAGCTGACTGAATATGAAAACAAAATACATAATTTCCTGGCATGTAAAATTGCTTGTTGCGAGACATGAGTCACTGAATTTTTGTGTTTCTCACCGAAACACTACTTTTGCAGTTCAAAGTTTCCAAATTTAAAAGGACATCAATATCAAATCTCTTTACATTATGGATGGGGAAAAAATGCACCGAAAGTTTATCACCATAATCACTAAGAAAAAAATTCGTGTTAACTTTCACTTATTATAATCACGTTTTTTAAAGAATGAAGTATAATCGCACAACTTTTAAGAATGAAATCCACGTGAGCTTAATAAATGGCTCTAGCACATGCGATATTCAGAACTAGAATCAAATAATTTGTTACTGCCAGTTGTTAAAGTAGGTTTTATTTGTAAGATAAAGTTGTGGATTGAGAGCCATATTAGATCAAAAAAATTTCATAACAGATAAATTCGACCAGGTAGAAAAAGACACTTTATTCATTTGCAAGCTATCCATTGTCATTTATTTAATCAAAATCCGTGGGATAAATCTGAGAACTCTTTGACCTTAGAGATTTAAACGCAGTCACAAAACAGGAATAATGCAAATACAGTCTATTATTTTTGATAGCTAATGCCTTTCAATGACTTGAAATGATTTAATTCTTGATTCTTGGGTATTTTTTCTGTTGCACCATTGGTCAAGTTGTTATGTCACATCACAAAGTGTGCGGCTTATTTGAAGTTGTTTTTTATCGACACTGTCTGCTTAAATGTATATAAAAAGGGTTATAATCCAAGGATTTCGCAGTTATCGAGACCAGACATGTCCAGAAGATTTTAGTCCTCATCACAATATCGTGGGTAATTGTTTTTATGTTTTCGGCACTGTTTAGTTGGTCGAAATGGATCGGGAAAATCTAACTTTTTCCAAGCTATTCAGTTTGTATTATCGGATGAGTACAGCCACTTAAATAACCAAGAAAGGCAAAATCTGTTGCATGAGGGTACGGGACCCAGAGTGATTTCTGCTTATGTGGAAATCATTTTTGATAATAGTGACGGACGTATTCCAGTAAAGCATATTTCCTTTATCATTCGTCTAGTCTGAAAAACATGAAGTTTCTCTACGGCGAATTATTGGCAGCAAAAAGGATCAGTTCTTTCTTGACAAGAAGATTGTGACGTAAGTATTTACCGTTTTGTACAGTTTGTAGCAAAACTGAGGTGATGAATATGTTCGAAAGCGCTGGATTCTCTCGAAGTAATCCCTACTATATTGTAAAGCAGGGAAAGGTGAGTTACTGATTAAAATTTGTTAGTTCGCGATGGTTGCTTTGCTCCATTTTTAGTTCGTGTGCACCCCGGAAACTGAATGTTCTCCCTTGCTATTCTTTCTCAATTATTTTGTTTAGATAACGCAGCTTGCTACAGCTCCAGATAGTCACCGCCTAAAACTTCTACGTGAAGTCGCCGGTACTCGGGTATATGATGAAAGAAAAAAGGAGAGTAAACAGATTTTTCGTGAATCAGGTATTTATGCGTTGATATTTTGATTTCGGGTGCATCGTGTGAGTTTAAGCGGAAGTCTTTTTATTTAGAAGCAAAGCGTGAACAAATTTCGAAACTATTAGAAAGTATTGAGGAGCGTTTGGGTACCTTGGAGAATGAAACGAAGGAGCTGAAGGAGTACCAACGTTGGGACCGAGACCGCCGTGCTCTTGAATACACAATATACGACCGCGAGCTGAAGGAAACACGCCGAAAACTAGAAGAGCTACAGTCACGTCGTGAGCAAAGTAGTGAAAGCACAGCTGAAATACGTCGCGTAGCCAAGGAAACAGCAGCTCAAATTGAGGTTAGTGCTCCTTCTCTCAAGTACAAAGTTAGACCCTTTTGTATTGCTCTTCATGCTATAAAGATCTACCTAGTGTTTATATGTTCTCTTAGCTTGTATCGCTGCAAAGATAGGGGCTGTTTATTGTTAAAATAGGAAAAGGAGGTTGTTCCATCTAAGTGTTGGGTCCGAAACTACCCTGACTTTTACTTCTGTGCTCAGTTATTATTAGGTCTGGTGATATACTATCAACACTCATTGTTATCACATGCTTCAGGAGTAAACAGTGCCATTGTTTGGAGCTAATTTGTTCGAAAGTAAGAATCGTTCCTTTGGAACACGAAAAGTTTTTGGTTAGTTACAACGTCAATTTTTTTAATGCATTTTTTTGAGCCATTTGCTTTGGATTTTATTTTAGCAGTTGAACGCCTCCATACTTCGGTATATTATTTTGTGACACGCTCTGTTTATTACATAGCTAATCATAGTTGTATCTTACATGCTTTTTAAACTAGCGACTTGAGCGGGAGTTGCGCGACACGCGTTTAAAGGAAGCACAGTTGCAAGATGAGGCGGAACAGGTGCAGCATTCTGTCAGCGGCATTCTTCAACGTCGTGAACAGCTCGAATTAACTTGTGCTGACTACTCTGCGACACTTCGCAGTGGTAAATCAGCTCGTGAGCGGGCTGCAGAAGAGTTGGCTCGAGTTAATGCACAGATTGCTGTCGTTGAACAACGTCTGACAGAATTAAAACCCGAGTACAAGGCTGCTCGGCAACAAGAGGACAATCTTGCCAACGCCCTTTCGGATGCAGAACATCGCAGGTAATCGGTTCTTTATATGTTGCAGGCTGATTCTGGTTGCAAGTCACTATGCTTTAGCCTTATAAAATTCAGCCTGGATGTCATGAGAACTGTGTTCCTATATCGTGCTAGTTGAATGCATCTAGGATGTCCAAGTTGCTGTTATTCAGCAAGAAACTGACATTTTCATCAGTGGGTCCTGATGGCTATGCTCTTGCTGATTTCTAAGTTTTTGCCAATTTCTGCCTCATTCTTCTACTAGGGCACTATCCAAAAGCCACGCTTATAATTTAACTGCTGGTTATATTTGTAGTGGTTGAAGGGATGCTTCTTGTTTTATGCTATTATTCTCACCTTTAGGAAAGAGCTGTTTGCCAAACAAGGACGTCTTAATCAGTTTCGCTCTCGTGTTCAGCGGGATGAGTGGATAAAGAATCAGATGAAAAGTCAGAGCAAGGCAATCAAGGACAAAGAGAACACGATCGCGAAACTGACAGAGGAGATAAAGAAGGACGACGAAAGGTGTGCCAAACTCCAAAGAGACCTAGAATCGGCCGAAGAGAACCTAAACACTGTTCGTGCTGAACTTGAAGTGGTAAGTGGGTCGCTTTCAACTCTCATCTTCAAAGTGTTTTAAATGGCACGCAATTTGTACCTTCCACTGCGAATGTCTCCACGAAATAATGGCCTCAATAAATGCGGGGAAAATCCAAAAATTTTCTTTGTGCTATTTCCAAGTTACTTTTTTGTGCCTACCTTTGTCAGGACAACCAGCTAAGTGAGTTGACTGGTTTGATTTTGCAGGTCTAGTTATCCCCATCTTCATTAAGGTCTAGTATGGTATGGTCACACGATGCACATGGTGGTTTGACGGTCATATTTCGATCTATGAGACTCCTCAGGTCTAAAGTTTATGTTTTAACTTAGGTTTTTGAAGACTCGCGTCGTCTACGGAGGGAAAAAGAGGAAACTCATGCTGATCGTCAGACAGTCTATAGGGAGGAGACCAGAATCGCACAGGAATTGAACAATTTGCGCGACGAGCTCGCTCGCACCGAGCACAGTCTTCGATCGATTACCGGCAAGGTTATTCTCAACGGCCTCGACTCGGTTCGCAAGGTGCGTTTCCTTGGATAAGACAGCGTTTGTGCTACCATTGTTCTTCTTTACATGGGTATATATGTATTTGCTATGTTGGTGCGCTATTAATGAGCATTTAGCTCACTGATTTTGTAACTGTTAGTGGTATTTTGCATAGCCACGTTTCTGAAATTGATATAATCAGATTTAATTGGTAAATTGAGGTTCTGTTGCAGACTTACCACATGAAGTCTTCTCTTTAGGCACTGCCATGGGTTTTTATTCTGATTTCAGGTGATAGAAATATTCCGTGATCGGTTCGGTCCCGAGTGCGAGATCGTTCAGGGTTACTACGGCACACTGATTGAACTTCTTGAGTGTCCAGAAGACTTTTACACTTGTGTTGAGGTGACGGCCGGTTCGCGTTTATTTTACCACGTGGTACAGTCGGACAAACACGTAATCAAAATTATCAAAGAGATCAATAAGCACAATCTACCCGGTGAGGTGCACTTCCTTCCAATCAACAAGCTGTACGTGAAGGAGTCACACTATCCAGAGGTGGAGGGAGCTATCCCCATGATTTCCAGGCTCAAATTCGACGAAAAATTTCGTCCTGTCATCGTGCACATCTTCGGCAAGACTCTCATCTGCAGCAGCCTCGAAGTGGCCACGCAGTTGGCTCGGCGGCAAAACTTTGACTGCATCACCCTCGACGGTAGGTCGCACAAACCCTCCTCGCTTCTTTCCCCTTCTCAAGTGCACGTGATTTTGTAACATGCCTTCAATTCCCAGTCAATCTAATTACATGTCTTTGAGAATGATGACACCTTGCCTTAATCGCCATTTCGACTATCAGGATAGCACCATTCCTCTAGCATGTTGGACGTTGAATATTCAAACTAATCTACCGCTTCCACGAGAAGCGACTGATCTGTACTATTAGGCAATCAAGCATGACAAGTTTAATAGACGCGAACTGAGGTTAGGGCGATTTGAGAGTGGCGCACAGCCGCCTTCCGTGACTGCGTTATTTCGATCATATGCGACCCACGTCTGTGATATTATTTACTGTCTGTTGGTCTGGAGCAAAAACCATTTTCGGTGAAAAAATCTGCAGAAGATGCACTCAGCCAATGTGTATTAAGTTTCTGTTTGTGTTCTCGAACAGGTGATCAGGCCTCAAGAAAGGGCACACTGACTGGTGGTTACTATGACAACCGCAAGTCCCGTCTGGAACTGCAGCGAAGGAAGCAAAAGACGGAAATGGAGATCCAGGAGACCGAGAATGTTAGGGAAAATAATGCCAAAAGAAAGGAACAGGTGGATGCCCAAATTAACCGCATTATCGACGAGGCACAGCGAAAAGAAACGGTCCAGAACAAACTCGAGTACGTTTGTTTAACCCAACCTCATGCACCAAGTCCCAATTCCTGGGATGGGCACGTTTAATCGTCAACGAGGCTTTCCACATTTTTTATTTCATTTGACTGTAATTTGCGATCCTATATTCACATTTAGAAGTTGCGTTATTGGTAATCAGGATGTTTTGGGTGTTTAAATCGCATTTTCGGCTGTTCGAAAAGAAGCCCTTTGCAGTGTTTTCTCTGTTTACTTGTCACAGGTTGACCCGCGACCAGCTCAAGAAGGACATCCACTTGTGGAAGGAGGAGCTCCGTTCGAAGACCGAGGCCCGACCTCAAAAGGAATGGAAGCTTTCGTCTCTGAGACATGATCTGGAACAAATGAAATTCACCATGGAATCCTATAAGGTACCGATCGTGTTAGGTCAACTAAACCCATAACGCAGCACACCATTGCTAATGTCTGTGTTTATGACAAGGAATTTTTTGATTAAGGTAGCATTGTCACCGTGTGATGATGCATGTTATACTTCAAAGCACTGTTAAAACTGTCTGTCTTGTAGGCGGAATTGGGGACGGATCTACTGAGTCAGCTGTCTGCTCTAGAACAAACGGAAGTAGATCGGTTGAATGATAAAATCCAGGCTTTGACTCGTGAAGCCAAGGAGGCGTACAAGTGAGTCACTCATGGTGCCTATCTGAAAAAAACTGTCTTTAACATTGCGACGCATTTGCATTGCCACTTTCGGGTACACATGTGCGGAAACTTCGACAAGAACTTGAGAGGCAAATTGGTTAACATGTAGTATTTTCGCCCGTGTCGATTTAGCCTTCTGTCTCGACGGCGCATAGGCGTTTTTACCCGTAATCATAAGCTGAATCCTCCAGTGCCTCACATCGCTTCGGCAATTTGGCGGTCTTTTAATGCTGGTACGAAGAAGTCCAGGAGTAGCCGTGTGGAGTTTGTTTGTGCGTTTTGCTAGTTCACGGACTTTAACTGGGACTACAGTAGTTTGAATTCTTCCGTCGTTGTAACGAGATGCTCATCGAGTTGTTTGCGAAGTCCCTGGCAAGCGTCACTTATTTCTGCTCTAGCGGTATTGCAGGGCGCTAGGTTTTAGTCTAAGGCTATGCTGTATGCTCTTCACTGTTAGGCAGCGTATGAAGCTGGAAACGGAGAAGACAGAAAAGGAGACTCAGCTGGAGCATAATCTCTTTCGCAAACGCGAGCAACTGGAAAGTGAACTTGCGGAGGTGTCTGAACAGGATATTTCAGAGCGTCTTCGCGAAGCCCAAGAGGAGTTGAAGCAGGCAAGGCCCTTGTTGTTTGTTCTACCACCTAAAAGTCCAGATCTCGTCCCTATTTCATCCACTGTAGAATGGTCACGTACTTGTAAGCCCACATATAAAGGTCTAGTAGTATTTTGCTGTTTGTTATTTAACTAATTTCCTCAGAAAATTGGTAAGAATGTAGCCGGTTGTAGCTAGTCAGACGATGTCGATGAGGCAGCGTCCACCGTGGTTCGTCTGGGACCGCCTTACTGACATTCCATCACCGAAGTTATGTTGAAGCAGTGGAAAGTCATTTTGTATTTACCCCAAGTTAATGTTTAGGATGCCATCACATTGTTTGATTGTTCCTTTTTTTTCTGCGTTAGGCGGACAATCGTATTGAGGCGGAGAAACGCACAGTCGATGAAGTGGAGAGTCGTCTAGCCGCGCTGATGCATGACCAGCGTAGGCTCGAGAGCGAGTTGGAGGCAAAGCGATCGGAGGAAAAGGAGTTTGCTGAGCGAATTCAGGACGATCAACAGAGCCTGGAAAAAATGCAGTCGAAGCAAAGTCAACTGTTTAAGAAGAAGGAGGAGAATATGAAGAAGATTCGTGACCTCGGCTCACTCCCAGCCGAAGCCTTCGATAAGTTCCAGGACAAGAGTATTAAACAGGTGAATCCCAACGAATACAGTGCTTTACATCGCACTCATCCAGGAAAAGTATTTCCTGCTAGGTTGTGATCCACAGAGGTGTGGTGAATGATTCGTTTTAATTTGCAAACTAAGCAGGCTGGCAGCCTGTCGAATATGTTTAACTCACACAAGTAAAACGCCTCTCATTCGTCGACTTTTGTATCAAAGCGAAGTCTTCAACTTCCAGCTAATTAAACATAGGTGAAAAGAGTGTCCTGAGAAGGTGACGATTTTATGATCCCAAGTAGGCTGACGCCCATTTTCAAGTCAGCATTGTTGTAGTAGATAGCATTTACGAGAACTATTGTACTTGATTTGGTGAAATCGAATTTTCAAGTACCGCTCCACACGTACTTCCACAGTATCGATAAACTCATTTGTAACCTCACTGTACGAATCATCTGGTAACTATCCTCCTGCAGCTATTCAAACTCTTGGACAAGGCGAATCGCGAGTTGAAGCGATACAGTCACGTGAATAAGAAGGCATTGGACCAATTCGTCAGCCATTCAGAGGAAAAGGAGAAGCTGTTGAAGAGGAAAGAGGAGTTAGACGAGGCCCACCAGGCCATTATCGATCTCATGAACGCCCTGGACCACCAAAAATATGAAGCCATCACTCTCACCTTTAAGCAGGTTAGTTTATCTTGCGTAACCTACAACGTAGGGTCCAGTTCCATCGTTTTCACGCGAATCACTGGATGCCTAGGCCAAACTTGCGAGGTGGAGTTAGTCTCCACCCAGGAGGCTTTAATTTGAGCCAAGACGATTTCATTGGGGTGGTATTTTGCGTAATTTAAAGTTTGTGGGCCGTCATCACGGTGCTAAATCTTGGCCTCTGCTGTACATATCGTTATTTATTTGGTAGTTTAAGATGCTCTTCCCAGTGCAGTCTGTCGTCCCTGGCCTTTTTTACGTAGTGATTGACTAGTCTATTGACGGATCTTCTAAAGGAGAGAATGTTGCTTGCTGCTACTATCTACCACACGCCTAATCCAGTGGATTACGGCTTAGCATAAAATGAATTTCGCCATTATATTGTATTGTCAGATTTTATAAGTGCTAGCCAACCGTTTTCACATGTCGAAGCTAAGATTCAAGTCTTCACAAATTCCTGTGCCATACCAGCCAATCGAATCTATCGTGCACATCAGGATTTTTTCTCTAAAAGGTGTCGAAGAACTTCCAGGACATCTTCAAACGACTGGTACCAGAGGGTCGCGCCGAACTGGTCATGCATCGTGGCAAAACGGTAAATTTTCTTTGTGTCGCATTCATTACTTTTTCTTCTTCATTTCCTGTCTACTTGGATGTTTTTAAATTAATCTCTTGGCCACCAGGTCGATGGTGATGATGGCAGTGACGACGAAGTTCCAGCACCCTCGGCGCCTGTTCCTGATGTTGAGCTCTTCACGGGTGTTGGGATCCGTGTCTCCTTCACCGGTGAATCGGCAGACATGCGGGATATGAATCAGCTCTCAGGAGGCCAGAAGTCCCTGGTGGCCCTGACTCTCATCTTTGCTATTCAGAAGTGCGACCCGGCGCCGTTCTACCTCTTTGATGAGATTGATGCTGCACTCGATGCGCAGTACCGCGCCGCTGTCGCTGACATGATTCGAGATCTCAAGTCGGATGCACAATTCATCACCACGACGTTCCGTCCCGAGCTTCTGGAATCTGCTGAAAAGTATTACGGCGTTAAATTCCGTAACAAGGTGGGTTCAGATGCAAAGTATTCATTATCTGGCCTGTGTTTGTGGTTTCATGCTGCCGAAGGAAATGTTTCTGATGTGCACTGCTCAACCGAAGTACATTTATTAACCAGAGATTCCGACTTGAGCTCAAAGGTGGCTACAGCAAATTAGTTGGCCAACGCATGCATTATTCTCACCTTAAGTAATTTCCTCTTTCATCACATATTTGTCATCTGGTTTTTTATTAACTGTTTTAGAACAGGTGAGAATAATGCATGCGTGGCAGATGTAGTAGAAGGTGGGATGTTTGCTGCCCTGTTTGTTCAACAAGAAGTCCGAAACGTGTGCCATTGTGTTGCTTTACTTTTAAGTGAGACACAAGTTTTTAGTGTTGCAAAGCATTTTCTTTCAAGTCAAAATCGCGAAAATCTGTTTGCGATATACAATTTCTTTCTAATTTTGTTTTTAAGTTTGAGATAACAAAGGCCAGTCGGCAATAGTTTAGTATGCCAGTGTAATGTGATCAACGTGAAATTATGCCCCTAACAAGTATTAAATTATTTGATGGTTTTAATTTTGATTTTCAAAACTTGTAAGTTGCATTTTTATGTGCTCAGGTTTCCCATATTGAATGCGTGACAAAGGAGGAAGCATTAGATTTTGTTGAGGACGACCAAACCCACGGTTGAGAGATTGAATTTCCCGAATTTAGACACTTGTATATGTATGCTATAATTTTACTATCCATTGGTACTTCAGAGATGCGCAAAGCATGTTTATATAAATAAACCCACTTTTTATGTATCCTCTTTTTGGCGTGCAAGTTCTGGTCGAACGCACAAATAATGTGGGACAAGATAGTCATTCTGTACTTTGACGAAATCGACCACATAAGCCAGGACACAGAATACGGTTAAACATAAAAGGCAAGACTCAGTTTTCGTGGTTGTAGTTGCCATGGCTCAGAGGTTGTCGGGAAATGAGGACGTCTGGGAATATCGGGTGTTGCAACCGGCGGCTATAATCCGCTATTACTTCTGGTCGTTAACAAATTAAGTGCCCCATCAACGCTCATCCGAAACCTTCACCTAATCCAGTAAGTGTTTTGTTCGCGGATTAGATCGGTCACGTCGATTTTGCAAATCCTACGGTCCGATCCGTGACTCGTCTGATCACAAATATAGATTATCTAAAATATTTCAATGTTTAAATCTCCTCAAGTCATGAACGCATAATTGGACATTTAACCACCCCTGTTAAAGACCACCATGACGCTAACTTCAAAATTATAATAATTAGATTAAAGTTTTAAGCGTGGAAGCGCACTCAAACTGACATGTTTCCGCTCACACAGACTTCCCCCAGCCAGGAAATTCATGTCCAACCGCAAATTATAAAAGGTGAACCATCCCAAGCTGGCACAAAGAGTGCCGAATGTTACCAGTTTACGTAGGAACAGAGACGCAATGGTGAGTGTGAAAATCGATAAAAGATAACAAAAGAACAGAAACAAACTATCATGAAGTCAATTCAACTAGATAAATTTTCAATGATGAGCCTCCGTTGACTCTACACTGCAAAACCATCAACTTAGAGCTATGTTTCATAAAATCAAAAGCCGGCCGAAGTTTTAGATTTCATCCAAAATATACGGCGGTCAAGGTGGCTGTTTAAGAAAGCAGGCGAAGTCATCTCTACTTGAGTACGGGGAAGGATCATTAAATTGACTGAGCTAACGGTTTCCCAAAAGTCAATTCCATAAATTGATATTAAATATGTGAGCATTGTAGTACGCTCAGACCACACTCAGGCATGTGGTTCAGTCTGGTGCGGTGATCCTTGGGTCAAGGTGCGCCGACGTGCCTTAGGTGAAACTTCTTGCTGAGCACCTTTGGCTGATGTTTGTAAGTTTAGATTTTTGCTGAAAAGAAGCAGTTTTATGAACCTGCAGCAGCACAAGTAGTGTAAATCAAACTCTTTTCAGATGTTATAATTTGTGAAATTATAGATCATGATGTGCATCAAAATTCATGTTGTATGTGCAATTTGTTAGTACCAACAAAAAGAAAGTTTGTTCCCAATTACATTTTTATTGTATAGATTATGCAAAATTTGCAAAAAAGACTGATTATATTTAAAAAAAGGAAACTTGTCTTATAACTTAATTACATTTGCCTCGTGTTTACATATACGTGCTTATTCCCACAATTTTGAAGAGTTTTGGCTGGGATATGGGTGTTGTAGGGTTGTCGTCTCACATCCGCAGAGACTTTAGTAGCTTCCGAACAACAAGGCTGCATAACTCATTTATTGTATTTGATGGGTTTAATATGATAAATCACCTCTACATAAATTCAGGGATCCTAACACAATATAATGGAGAGTACATGGCTTTCGATGTTGCTACAGAAGGGTTTATATTGAAGCTTCGTCAGTGTAATCTCGAACCTATTTTTGTTTTCGACGGCATTCATGAGGTATGTTTAAATTAATCTTTTGATACATTATTGTTTGATAAACAATAATGTAAGCTCTGTGCATCCCAACCTTTTATTTTTGCCTTCTCCATAATTACATAACATCATTGATGTAATTTTCGTGTCCAAATTAATTCATGTGTTTCTTATAATTTCCTTTTATCAGTAAAATACTTATTCATCGAATTTGTGCTAAGTTTGCAAGTATTAAAGGCCAACTAAACACCACGATAATTTAGGATAATTATTGCCAATTTTAATTTTCCTGGTTTTGTAAATAGAGGTGATCCACGCAGCTAGAATTAAGGGTGCGCTTCCTAAAAAAATTATAACTTTGGTTTACGCATAATTTTGAGATTTTTGGGGGGGCAGGACCACACTTCCTCGAAGTGCTTGTGTATTTACTGCTCTTCTGTCTTTTAACAGTCCACCGATTATATGTTGCATGTTAAATCCTGGGATAAATTGAGTTGAAATTTGCAGGCTTTTGCTACGCTGTTGTAATTTATGTTACCTGAATAGCATTTATATATAGCTAGAATTAAATCGCCAAAATGGTGGCGCATGCAGTTTGCTCAGGCACACCTGACTTCACCTGGTATCGTGGCATTGGTAACAAAGACAAATGTTCAGTGCCATCTCATATTTACCCACAGTTTAAATGTTCGCTTTTCAGGTGTCCAAGTTACAAACAGTCTTGAGGAGAACCAATGATCGTTTAATCACTTGCTTCAATCTTCAGAAAGCTGCCACAAATAGACCAATAAAAGACGGTTGTTCAGATTACCTCCGAATTAGTGTTCAACCACCGCTTGTATCTACCTCATTTCTAAGTATCCTTGACCGTCTTGGGGTGTTTCACATCACCGTTGATTTTGAAGCAGATCAACTGGCAGCTGCCCTTGCTATCCATTTGGGTGCTCCATTAGTTTCCAATGACTCGGATTTTTTTATATTTGCCCCATATTGGGCCAGCTACGGTGGCCTGATTTTTATTCCCACTGACCTTTGTGATTTTGAAACTACTCACGCCTTCGATGGAGGCCATTATCTTGAAGCACAGATGTTTGTTGCAAAAGAGGGTCGGACCTTCCGAAATTTGGCCCCAATTCAGCTTCCCTTGTTCGCTGTTCTTTGTGGTAACGACTACACCCCGCCTGGATATTTTAACTCTCGTCTCCCAGGATCGGCTCCTCAGCAACCCTTTGTTAGACCAACGGGTCAAGCCGCATCCAAACCAGCTGTTTTTTCCCGTAACGCAGAAAAGTTCCGACGTCTAGGCGATTGGCTATCAGGATTCGGAGATGACATCGTGGAGCCCGTGGACAGAATCATTTCCAGGTTTCCGATAGCGGAGAGGCCTCAAGCTGCTCATTACCTACACACTGGGCTAGCCTCCTATTACGTCCCCATGGATCAGCTTACGCCATACCTGGAGTACCTATTTGGTAGAGAACCTCCATCGTGTAGTGTGACGCAGGTAGTGCCACATGATTTACATCCCTCAAGTCAGCAATACGGGCTTCGCGCACTGCAAATTTTAGCAGAAGGCATTCCTGGTCCACAACTGACCACAGGCTGGTCTCCTCGTCTAACAAATTTTTTTCGCCAAAGACGGATAATGCCCGCTTATTGTGATGCGATCTACTCATTTGGGATCATGATGGGTTCAGGAGTAGAAGACGTCCAAAACCGTGAATCTAACCACCTGTGTTCATTGCCACTTCGTCAACTCTTTGTTGGACTCCTACTGGGTGCAAGCACTGCTGACAGACGTACCTTGCCAGGCGTTAACGGTCCGTCTCACCGTCCATTCTTTTGTGAGTATAGACGCGTCGGTTGCTCCCGTATCGAAAAGCACCGAGTCAACTTCGAGCGACAAAGCTTGCGTGGTTCCAGGGCGTTTGTGTTTCTGCAACAAAAGCTATGCCTTCCAGATCGACCACCAGTTATTCCAGCGTGGCTACATGGACTCGCTTGCATCCTGTTTCTCTGGGCGCGATTTGATGCGCGTCCAGAAACTGCAAGACTGTGTTGTTCTCCTATCGCCTTGGCTGTGTGCGCCTGTGCGATCGCTGCTCAGATTCGTCTGCTTGGTGGTGGTAGTGGTGACAATGCAGTTCGAGTGGCGATGGTGCGCAATTTTTGGTCGTTGCGTCCATCGAATGTGACGGAGCCTCTCAACTTCAGTTTTCTGCATGCCCTCGCTCAACTGCAATCTGTACACTACGGCTTAGCGACCCTTGTTTCGTTGGTGGACGCGTTGGCAACTGGAGACGACAAATGTGGAGTGGAGGTGTTGCCACCACAGGTGGTGTTTCCTTCTGGACGACTGGCCCATCACATTGCATGTCAGCTGTCGAAAGTTGCAGCTGCCGAGAGATTGCGGACTGTTGTTACAGACTGGCTTCCACGTCTTGTGGGGAAAGTTGAAACTCGACTCTTAGAACAAGTAAGTATGCCCACTGTTTCTAAATGTTGTTGTCGATATCATTGTCCAGGTGGAAAGGCATCACATCATATTACTGATGGAAAATAAAACTTCATAGTCCGAACAGTACGCAGTGTTTTAATAATCCGCAAATGTTAATCTGTCATCGTCAAATAATTCGTTTGTTGAAGCGACGTGTCATGCTTTCCAAATGATAACAAGAAAAGTGGTACTGTTTTTACAACCATTATAGATTTGTTCTCGGCAAGCTGGAGGAAAATTATTTTAACTGCAACTTTTTTAACTTGTAGGTGACCTCGATGTATTCTGGCTTAATGAAATTTGTTGATAGCTTGATAGCTGCAACTCCACCCGCTGCTTTCCGCGCCTTTCAGCGACCACAGAACAATGAGCAGCATATTTCTAATCACTCCGAACCGTCCTCTAACGCTTTTTATAGAGAAACAGACCAGTCACAAGCCAGTACCAGCGGTCGAAGCAGTGCATCTCGCGCCAAACGTCCCATGTCAGGCGTAGACTCCACTTCGTCGAGACTCGAAGATGCTGTAAAGGCGAGTATGCAAGCCGCTGGTCTAGAGAACGACATCTAATCAATTTGTATCTTGTATATATAGTTTTTAATTCTTTTTTTTAAATTTATGTAAAGTAACTAATTTGAGCTACAATTACTATCCTTCGAAATCACCAGAGTGACATTTGAATACTAGTCTGGATTGTGTTAAATGTGACCATGCGTATCAGAATACATGTCACACCGCCTTATAAGTAGTCGTTGTTGTGAAGTTTCGTCAGCGAACTACGCTATTTAGCTGTTTAAGTGGTTTTCGGGAGTCAGTATGCTGAGGAGATGGAGGTTTTTGGCATTCATCTGTGCACGAGCATTTCAACGTCAACTTCACTCAATATAATCGATTGAATTCGCGCTTGGACGGGCTTGGTTACAAGGTTCGCACGTCGATAGCCTGTGTATCACAAAATTTTAACCAGGCGTAAAGTTGCTGCAGCATTTTCTGTGTAAGCCTTTGGTGATTTAAGCTGCTGTTAAACAATTTTCACACCCTCACGAAGTTCGGGTATTCACGATTTGCACCGGCATTACCCTAACTGCTTCCGACCTCTGTAGTTCTGCAATATTCTCGTCGAGTGACTGTAGCACTTGGATACCATTCTACAATCCCTAAATGACGTTGGCGAGATAGTTATTGCACTTGATTCGACTCCAAAGACTGACGTCGACACTCTCCGGTAAATAGCAAAAGAGTTGGCCGTGGACAACGCAGATATTGACCATTTGCTGCGGCGGTAAGACGGCAGTATTTTTGTGCGACGAGGCGTTAGTATGTATAGTAACAACTTTTGTTCCAATAACTAAAACACTGTCTATGGATTGACTAGTGATGATGCTTACCCAGTTGGTAAGCAATTTTAGAAATGACGCCATCTATTTACACGAACGGTCAGTGAGATGATTCGCTGATCTGTCATCTCAGCTGATATCGGAAAATAGGTGTCACAATCAGGCTTAATTCAATAAGCACAGTCGCGTTAGACGTCGCTTATTTTAGGGTCTTAATTTAGGCTTTTAAAAGACACTAGAAATTTAAAAAAAGGAGGTGTAATCCACAAAATTGATAAATATGCCCTCTGCACAGTGCGTGGGACAGGTTATTTAAAAAACCAAGTGACATACTGCTAAAAAGAGGATTGTGAGGGCATGAACTGGGTCACCAGAGGAAATGTAGCTTAGTGGAATGTGGTGCTAATTTAAAATGCTAAATATCTGCTCTCCGGAGTGCCACAAACACAGCCATTTAAGTTGCTACTAGGCGAGTTGTGAGCCTACATGACTGAGGTCGATCTACACCAGTTCACGTTGGAACAGTAATGTTTAACTGGATGTGAAGACCGATGGAGGGTGGTAGAAGCAAACCATCTTGAGGTTAATCTTTCTGGAAAAACTTTCACTGATGAACATTTACTGAAAAATCACCGCCTTAGAGCGAATCCCCTCATGCTCATTGTTCAATGAGTGTCGTGTCAAATACGCTCAAGCAGACCGGAGTTTTAGATGTCAATGAAAACAGGCGGTGAGTGAACGTGGCTGTAAAAGAAGCAGGCAAAGTCATCTGCGCTAGAGTACGAGGAAGGAACATCGCCGTTTATTGTTAAGAAAACACTCGACTGAATGTGCTAGCGGTTTTTAAACACCAGTTCTATCAACTGTTCATAAAATATCCAGGCGTTACCGTACAATTCAAGGTGCATTAAAGAGGTGGTTACGGACGATAATGGAGTCTGCGTTTGGTCAGGTGTGACGATTTTGGAGTTGAGGTGCGCTGACATTGCTTGAGTAAATCGACCAGCTGATCACATCGGAATGATGGTTGCCATTTTAAACTGCTGTTTATAATACGCAGTCATTTGATGCAGCAGAAACAAAGTTGTTATAAAACCTATTACTGAAATACCTCGAATACACTAAACCATGGGAAATGAGAAACCGAGGATTACGATAAGTCAGCACATATGCTCAAATTCTGTTTAAACTACTCCAACATCATCCACTGGGATCGTTTGGTTTTTACAGAAGTTGCAGGCTATTAATCACGATTTGGCGACTGTCTTTTATAGTTGAGTTTCCTCGCTAGCTGAGCCCCATCAGCAATTTTGAGACACTCAGGATTTGTTTACATCATTTGGAAGCGGATGATGCCAGTAGAAACTCTATAAAATTTAGTAGAGTAAGAGCTTCATGCACAAGTTGAGCGGAATTTTGTCAATTGGACGTTAACTTGGAGACCAATCTGTGATAAAATGTCGACACCAATTATTGGTCTCTGAACGTCGACCATGGTAAATTAAAGTGAGCAACGTTCAGTGAGATGTTTGAAAAATTTTATTTGGAGATTAAAAAGTTTGATGTGGTGACTAACAGATCTAACCACCGGTGCCAAATAAAAGATAAGGAAATCTTTGTCTTGGTTGTAGTTTTTCAGACAAAATTCGTCCATTTTCAATGAGTGAGTAGCGGTTTTTTTTCGAAACATATTAATGTCTAAATTGATCATTTTTGCCACTTCGTTAAAAGTGATCGGTTGAGTTGAAAAGAGATATTTGCATTAGTGTTGGCCGGCAGGCACGAAGCCCATTACTGGTGTAGAATGGTATCGTCTGCATCATTATCACCAATTAGTAGGCTTATATTATAAAGGAAATTAAAAGGTAGATTATCTGTGTCGACACTGGGAGGCTGATTTCCAACATAGGCCTTGGCGGAGCCGGTCATTCGAGCCGGATAGAACCAAATACTAAATGCTGTCCTCAAGGGTGATGGAAAACAAGTAAAAAAATTCAGATACATTACCTGCCAGTAGCATTTAAGCAACATGAGTCTGCATGGAAAAATGCGAGGCGACATTTCAATTGCGAAAATGATCCTGAGTTAGCATATAATATATGTGGCATAGAAGATGTACCAGTAAAACTGAAGGTTATTATGCTTGTCGAACTGGTGTTAACAGGCATTGTGTCACCAATTGTTCCCAGAGGTGAGAGTAGTGGTCGCTTCGCCAATCACACTAACCAAGTGAAATGTAAGAGTGCATCTAATTACATCCCTTCTGGTTAGCCGCGGCAACAGTACCAAAAAATTGAACAAACGATCAAAACAGGTACGACAGCTGTTTTGCGTAAGGACTATCAAATGTTACCATTTGCCTTAGAATGTTTTTCTAGTGCATGTGAGCAGCAACTATTAGAAGAAAATTGTGAGTAACTTATAGGAGAAAACCTGCAATAAATCCCTATGGACAGGAGAACAGATATTCGGAATGAACTAATTATGAGCATGAACTTCAATCGGACTTAATAAATGAAATATATTTAATTACAATGGCCGTGACGATAGAGAGTACACCGATGAAATAATTTACTTGCTCTACGATACTCCGATTCCCATGTTGAGAGCACTACAGCCGTGATGCTTGATAAGATTAACTATCTTCTGCCAAGCTCAGACAACGGAACAGGTATTGAAACCGTTCTACAAATTGACAAAACCACTAACGAATTACTAGCGTTCATCGACCGTTCGAAATGACAAACACGTCAAGTAAATACTACCATCAATATTTGTAGCGGTTGAACATTATTTTGACAACTGAGAGTGAGAAGTGTCTCGTGTTTTAATGTGAGTGGGTAACACTGCGAGTTAGGAAATGGTAGTATGAATCGCTCACAAGTTATTGAGACATGGGTGTTTCTGGGTTGTCATCATACATTCGCGGAGACTCTAGTAGTTTTCGTCAAACAAGGCTGCATAATTCTTTTATTGTGCTTGATGCAAATAACCTGATCTATCACCTTTACTTTAAATCTGGCATCCTGACCCAATATAATGGAGAATACATGGCTTTCGATGTCGCTACGGAAGAGTTAATAATGAAACTTCGTCAATGTAATCTTACACCGATTTTCATTTTTGACGGAATTACTGAGGCATGTTCAAGGAAACCTTTGATATTTATCATTTTTTGGAAATATATTTATACTCCAAGTAACCTAAGAGATTATGCTTGAAGTGCGACGAGGAAATATAAAGGCTTTTCTTTGAAATACGTTCGGTTTCTGATTTCAATCCCCCATTTATTATTACGCCGCGAAATCAGCATACAAGTAGTGTAATTCATGGAATTTGTGTCTTATTTTGCATATAAATTGAGCATTTAATATTTCTCAAACAAAAATTTATGACATATCCTGACCACACTGCTATTGCAAGTGCTAATTATCTACTCTGCTCCATTTGACTATATGCCTGTTTCGTCTCAGGTTCTCATCTGTCTTATTAGGGGAAGGGCTTTGCGTTTGTTCTCATTTCTTGCATACTTACCTGTATCCTCGAAACCACTATTTCGTATTTGATGAATGCATCAAGTGGTTGTGTTATACGTGAAACCTCAGAATGGATTCTGTCAAAATACACACGCTTTTGCAAATTTGTTTATTTTTGTATTAACTGAATTGATATTGAAATGGCTTTCATATCGCCAACATGACGGATCATGCCGTATTCGGGGAGATACCTGACTTTAAAAACATAGTGGCAGCTTGATCCGCGACGACAATTTGTTACAGTGCCATATTCATACTCTTTTTCGATTTTCTCTATTCAGATGTCCAAGATGAGAACAATTTTGAATCGGAACCGTGACCGCTTAATCACCTGCTTCAATCTTCAGACGGCTGCCACTGACTTACCATTACAAGACGGTGGTTTCAGAGATTTTCGGATGAGTCTGCTGCCACCTCTCGCATATCCGTCTTTTCTGAGCACTCTTGACCGCCTTGGAGTGCTTCACATTGCCGCCGACTTCGAGGCAGATCGGGTTGCGGCCGCCCTTGCCATCCACTTAGGTGCTCCACTGGTTTCGAACGACTCGGATTTTTATATATTCGCCCCATACTGGGCGAGCAGTGGTGGTCTTACATACATTCCTACTGATCTTTGTGATTTTGAAACCCCACGATCCTTCGATGGGGGCTATTACCTTGAAGCACAGATGTTTGTGGCGAGAGAGGGTCGTACGTTCCAGGGGTTAGCACCAATCCAGCGTCCTCTATTTGCAGTGCTCTGTGGCAATGACTACATTCCATTCGGGTACTTTGACAATTATATTCCTGAACCTGCTACTCAACAGCATTTTGTCGAACATGACGATCAAGCAGCATCCAGATCAGCCGGTCCATCTCGTAAATCCGCGAAATTTCAGCGTGTGGTAGATTGGCTGTCAGGATTCGGAGGTGACATCGTGGAGCCCGTGAACAGAATCATATCTAGATTTCCGCTAGCGGAGAGGCCTCAAGCTGCACATAACCTGCACACTGCGCTTGCCTCCTATTCTGTCCCCATGGATCAGCTTACGCCATACCTGGAGTACCTATTTGATGGAAAAACCCCATCCTGTCGTGTGAGGCAGGTAATACCACATGATTTGCATCCCTTAAGTCAGACGAATGGGCTTCGTGCATTAAAAATTTTGGTAGAAGGTAATTCTGACCCACAATTGTCCGCAGGATGGTCTCCTCGCCTAACGAAAGCTTTTCGCCAAAGCCAAATACAGCCCGGTTTTTGTGATGCGTTGTACTCGTTTGGGATCGTGATGACTCCGAGAGTAGAAGACGTCCAAAATCGCGAATCTAGCCACTTGTGTTCACTACCACTTCGTCAACTCTTTGTTGGACTCCTACTGGGTGCAAGCACTGCTGACAGACGTACCTTGCCGGGTACTGACGGTCCGTCTCATCGTCCGTTCTTTTGTGAGTATAGACGCGTCGGTTGCTCTTGTATCGAAAAGCACCAAGTCACCTTCAAGCAACAAACCTTGCGTGGTTCTAAGGCATTTACATTTCTGCAACAGAAGCTATGCCTTCCAAATCGACCACCAGTTATTCCAGCGTGGCTACATGGACTCGCTTGCATCCTGTTTCTGTGGGCGCGGTTTGATGCACGTCCAGAAACTGCAAGACTATGCTATTCTCCTATCGCCTTGGCTGTGTGCGCCTGTGCGATCGCTGCTCAGATGCGTATGCTTGGCGGTGGTAGTGGTGACAATGGAGTTCGAGTGGCGATGGTGCGTCATTTTCGGTCGTTGCGTCCATCGAATGTGACGGAGCCTCTCAACTTCAGTATTCTACACGCCCTCGCTCAACTGCAATCTGTACATTCTGGATTTGCCACACTTGTTTCGTTGGTGGACGCGTTGGCAACTGGGGACGATGAATGTGGAGTGGAGGTGTTGCCACCACAGGTGGTGTTTCCTTCTGGACGACTGGCCCATCACATTGCATGTCAGCTGTCGAAAGTTGCAGCTGCCGAGAGATTGCGGACTGTTGTTACAGACTGGCTTCCACGTCTTGTGGGGAAAGTTGAAACTCGACTCTTAGAACAAGTAAGTATGCCCACTATTTCTAAATGTTGTTGTCGATATCATTGTTCAGGTGGAAAGGCCTCGTATTAGTAATAAAGCTAGATTGTTCTTGGTGCATTAAAGTAGACACTGACCGTTAGAAAGCCTCAATGAAGTCATCAGGTACTCGTGATTCATATTCAATATGTCACATTATGCTTTTGTAGGTGGCGTCCACGTACTCCTTCTTGATGAGATTTGTGGATGACATTTGATGTAGACACCACGCACTGATATGACCACCTTTCGATATCTTCAGAACATGGAACAGCGTGATCCTAATCGGTTCAAACAACCATTGACTATTTTTCCAGAGAAAGACCAGTCACGTGACAGCGCCAGCCGCCGTAGCAATGCGTCGCGCGTCAAAACTCTCACACCAGGCGTAGATTCCATTGCGTCGAGACTCGAGGATCCCGTGAAGTAGAGTATGCGAGCTGATGGTCTCTAGGACTTCACTTAATCAACCTGTACTTTGTTAATGTGGTCTTGTCTTGTATTTCATTTGTTGTTTGCCTCAGTATGTGGTCTTGAACCACGCCGGGGCCACTGAGTTAACTCTGGCCCGATTACGCTTCCCTGCTATCCGCGATGAAGAAGAAGAAGAAAACAGAAGACGTGGACACCGTCGTTTACTTCAGAGCTCAACCACGTTGGTGTCGTTGTGTGGTGTGTGGCGTGTGTATATATTTATACCTCAGATGTGTGCGTCATAGATGAGCTCAAATCGAGACTTAGGTGTGAGGAAAATCTAGAATAAATGTTTTTGCGAATGCGGGAGAGTTGAGGATCTGTGCGTCTAGCGACATACTGTGAGAGGGGCGATCCTGTGTCGGGGTCTGAGGTGATTAGATTAGCGAGTGTGAGCCAACGCGATTTACAATATATTCAACTTACATAACAAGGAATAAACTAAGTAAGTTAAAAGTATCTGCGATAACCTATCTGAGGTAATTCCCGGAGTGGCACTCGAAAACTAGTCGGGATTATGTTGGAAGTGACAATGAACATCGGCATGCATATGACACTGACCAATAGGCGATCGTTGTTTTGAAGTTCTGC